TTGGAACTTTCCCAATTCTCCTGAGTGTTGCAGCCTGTGTACCTATGTGATAGAGTGTAATAGTACTACATCAAGGGAAGAGTGGATGCATTATTTACATGTACTTGGTTAAAGAGATTCCATGCATTTAATGCTGTTATGAAACAAGGTCTTTAGCACCTCCTATATTCCTGTGTAATTGGCTGCTCACCTGGTGCTACGTGGAAACCAGAGCTGTGAACAGTTGCCTTTCCTGTGTCTGTTACCTACATCAAAGGTGTGGAGATTATTCCAGCATGTTAGACAGCATACTATGCACCACCCAGTAAACTTAAGTTTCCTGTGTCAGGTCTTAAAGTTACAGTTTGAAACTAATGTTGTGATTTATTGCCCTTCCCCCACTTGTGATATTTTAATTCTATGATTTAGTGTGACTTGACATGGTGTGGCTTATGTAAATAATATTGTGTTTATTCAGTCCTGAAACCATTTTACTTCCAAGTATTTTTCCCTTGGAAGGAGCTCCCCATAAAAATGATACACTATAGCCCTATACATCATAGCAGAAGATTGACTAGGCCACTTTAAAATGTTGAGTTATGGTTCAAACCTGGAGTTTTATCATAAAGGTTATATGCACACCCACATACATCGTCCATCGACATACCTGGGAGCATTAATTTAGTGAGAACAGGAAAATTGTTTTAATGAGTCTCCTTCACAAATCTGTTGTGGTCTGTTGCTCTGTGTTTTTAAACTGTTTAACAGCATATGGACAAGCTTCTTTTTTCCATAAGTGTGAGCTGACCTTTCTCAATGAAAAGTCAGATTTCTTCAGCATACAAATAGACTAATTTGGTCCTTGCTGAGTAGGCATGCCAAAGATCCTTTGCAAGTTTTTCCACATTTTTGATCAGAGCCTACAGCAATAGTATAGGGGCAAGCTGGCCTGGCAGTACAGTTAACTGTCATTATAGTTTTCGCTGCCTCATCAAGGTGCTGCTCACTCTTTTTATTCAAGGGAAAGATTAGGATCAAAGGCTGCTGATGCTAATAAGGAATGGTGGAGATTGTTGGCCAGAAGTTCTTCACCTTCTAAACATTATAGCTAGTGCATGGCTTAGGCTGAAGTTCTGCCCAGGTATAATGGACCCAGGATTGCCCTGCTCCCTGCTGTCTGGCTGATGTGTTATGTACATCAGAAAGTGACAGAGTGCAAGGGGGTTAAGAATAGCCACAAGGATGGTGTTTACCGCATGCAGGAAACATTTCCTCTGCTGGCTCTCTCTTGGTAAAGATGGACACTTGGGTCAATGCAGGTGATCAGAGGAGTTAGTTGATTGGATTGTTTTTTTTCCCTGGATTTTGTCGTACAAAATAGAGTCTCACAAGATTGTCAGAGGAGTTGATTTCTCTCCAGCCATGATTGGCCTGATGCTGAATCTGCAGGAAGAACTGCAAAGGTTTGAGCAGGTACTCAAATTTTTAGGGTCTTTTTGAAGATTTTTCTTTATAGATTTACTGTTCAAGTTGAGTTGTATATGGGAGAAGCTTTTTATTTAAGATAAAGAGGTTATTTTTCAATTGATTTTGTTTGAGCATATCAGCTTGCAAATATCTCACACAATTTTTGTAAATTCTAAGCATATTGAGACAAGCTGCTGAAAAACTTGAAGCTGATGAAAGTTTTTGCATGTATTAAGAGGCCAAAAAAGATCCCATATCTTCAGGCTAGTTTCCCTGTTTCATTAAAGGTGCAATATATATAACAGTTCTATTGCTTTCAACTCTCTTTTTGCTGAGTTTTTACAAGCCCACATTCAAAATATAATATTGCATTTCTAGAATTATTTATGAGCCACATTCAAACATTTGAATATAGGGGTTAGGTCATACAGTATGGTGAACAGTTAATATTTTATAGCTGATGTTGACACTGAATCTGGCAGTTTAATTGCATGAATTTAATACATAGGGCATGCAGTTAAATTACTTGAATTTAACGATGGGCTAAAGTTCAGTGATTCAAGGCTACACCTTCAAAGGTGCCATGATGTCGGATTTTTGTCCTAACATTCTCCATGTGTCTGGTCATTGAGACTGTAAAATTAGCAATTTCAGATTAGGAAGTGGTTGAAAGCACTATTGGTTTTCTACTATTTGTATCCATTTATCTTGGTGTCCCATCTAACCTTTAAACTAAGGTCTATTTTTAGTCCTGTTTGAGAGGAAAGGAAAGGCAAAAAGATCTATCACCTGTCCAAGAGGCTTAGCCTCTCTGATCATCACTTACAAAAACTACATTACTGAGAAATCCTACAAAATGTCTTTATTTGTAACTCAAATGCATCTGTTTGGAAAAATATATCCCAAAGGATGTTGCCTCCTAATTGATTAGTGTTAATTTTAATCTCTGTGATGTTGCTTTAATGATGCGTGCAGGAAACATAAAGCATTTAATGAGATCCAAGGCTTTGATATTTACCTGTAGTTTTTATTTTGCAATTTGCGAATTAAGCTTCAAGGGGATTTCTGTGCAGTGGCTTGTATATGCTGGTTGACCTCTGGCTATAGGGGAGTAGATTTGTTCTTTGATATAGTAGACAAAAATTTACTGTCATGATACCTAAAGCAATCCCTGTGAAACTTATGCGCATATTACAGTGATTCTTATGAGAAGAACTGAACTACAGTATTTATTTCTTTACTTTTTTATTTAAAAATATAGTCCTCACAGTCCTCTGTCACACTTAGTCATATTATCCAGTGATATATATATATCCAGGATATTGGTAATTCATCATCAGCCAAAAGACATTGCATGGTGCTTGCCATCTTTTATGTTCAAACACATGGAACAAAGGTTTTGTCCTGGTGATGACTTGTGATTTATTCTTTTCATCTTTCTTGAGAGTACCATATTGTACTGGTTGTACAGTGTATTTTGGTCTGACCTGTTTTCCATCCTTTTGTTATCTTGAACTTAATTTCAATTGCTGTATTAGTTCTCAAGGGCAGTGTTACTCTCACTGAGATAACTTAAGGTTTTGTGGCCATAGGGGACACATTGGTGACAGGCCGCGCTGGGATTATCGCTGACAGAAAAGCTGCTTTGTCAAATTGAATTTGTTATTTGAGGATGACAGGGACACGTTTGTTTTAATTAGGTAGGTTATTTTTTAACCAGGTTTCTGTAGGGAGTGGGAACAGACACCTCGCTGAGATAATTAAACTGTTAAGTGTATTACAATGAAAGGAATGTTGTTGACCTATAGCAGTAGATGAGGTTAGCATGCTGGGTACCAGTGCCAAGTCTTCTAGCTTTGCTACACTGTCTTTATCTGAAACTATCAATTGACCAGTCATTCCACTTAGTAGATCTATATTTAGGTTTGGGTGTTTTTTGGTGCAGGAATGCTCGCATTTGCCATCAACACCCTAGCATCAAATTTTAAACCAAGTTTGTCTGAAGTAATTTATTTTAAATCTAATTGATTTTTGGCATTTGGGTAAAATTTGAATATAACTCCAAATATGTTCTTTGGTGCCTTTTTATTGTGTTGTAATGAATTAAAACCAACAAACACTTTTTATGAGAAAATAAGAAGCCTTATTAGAGAGAGCAAGCAACATATAGTGATGTGTGTTGAAAATCATTGAAGGTGGATGTAGTGGTTTTCAATGTGTGAGGTTCATAACCTTGCCCAGTTTGAAATGTTCTCAGCTGTACCTCCAGATGACCACAGGCCAGTAATGTGGCCACACTGTAAGAGTGGACACAGGTGTGAAAGGGTGTTCTGACCTGCACTGACCAACACACTCATCTATTACCTGTTAATGTCCTCTTAAAACTATATCCTATGATTATTGTAGTCCATTTTATGATGAGGTATGGGTTCTGTTGCTTTCCCATGCTAATGCAATGAAGTCTTCTGTGCCATGCCATGATGTTTTCCATCGTTTTGCCCTCTTGGCCTGTTGGTTTTCCTCATATAGCCAGCAAAGCTTGGAGCAACTATCTCACACTGATAGAAGAGTTAGATGACCACTAGACCTAGGGCTGTGTCCTGATATTCTTCTTAATTGTGGGATGTGAAGAGAGGCTGGGATAAATTTATTTTTATTTGGGATTCCAATCAAAATGTGATATTTTCTTTTATCTATTATAGAATGATCAAAGATTTAGCCAATATAACAACTTTGATATATCTGCTGAAATTTTGTATATGCTCCGACTGGTTTCTTATTTTTTCCTGTTATGTCTTAGCTCCTTCAGTCATATCACTCTGCCAGTAGGGAATTGATATTTTATGAGTAAAGGAAAACTAATTGCATTTTCATGTTATTTGAACTTTCTTTCTAACCCCTTTGAGATGCTTCAGCCTATGCCTCGTACTTGGGCTTTAACAGAATTAAATGCGACTTCATTGTTTTTGATACTTTGATACAATTTTACAGTGAAATGCCACCTCTAAGTTGATAAACAATCAAATCATGGAAATGGTTTCCAGATTGAATGGTTAGGCTTTTAGAGAAACAGATGGTAGTGTTACATCTGATAGTAAAAATAGCAGTATTACTCAAAGATGCACTGAGTGCACATACACCTGCTTAATTTCATTATATATTGTTAAAGTTTTATGTTAATGTTCCATGTTTGACATCATTTAAGCCGTAACTGGTAATTATTTGTAGGTGTATCCTTTTCAGAAGACATATTGCTGAACATAATGAACAGATGAAAGATGAAATGTTGATTAAGGTCTTATCCACACCCCCAATCCCTGTCAAAAATCAACTAATTTAAAACTGTTTGTAGTTGCCATTAAGTGTTCACAATAACTAATAGGCAGGTTGTTTCACAGACGTATAAAGTCTGTACTTTACTGGTCTGAATGGCTACATAGTAAGCCAGATCTGCAGGTGCGATGGCTTTAATAACTTGTGATACATTATTTTTTATGATTATTTTTATGAAACATTAGCATAAGTAAAAACTACAAGCCTCTTTGTATTTCCAGGACCTCCAAACTGAGATAGATTCCCACCAGTATGCCTTTGAGAAACTAAACGGCACGGGACATCAGCTGGTCAGAAACCTAGAGCCAGATGAGGCTTCCACGCTGCAGAGGAGATTAGAAGAAATGAATCAAAGGTGGATCAAACTGCAGAACAAATCCTTAGAAATCAGGTGAGAAATCAGTTTAAGGTTGTTAATGGAATATAAAATATTATAATGGTACAATATACAGACTTTGAAATTAGAATCTCAAAATTTTGTACTTCTTAATTGATATGTTTTAATGGTGGCTTGTTTGGTAGTAATTAAGGCTAAAATAATGGTTTAAGAAGGGCAGTGAGAACAGACATGTACAATTATATTAATGATCTTGTCTCACAATGTTGAAGGTCTCGTCTGGAGAGCAATGCTGAACAGTGGAGTAAACTGGTGAAGAGTTTACAGCACCTGATAGACTGGGTCACTGCCCAACACCAGGAGCTGGTCAGACAACAACCCATAGGAGGAGATGTCACACTCGTCCAGCAGCAAGCCAGGGACCAGCAGGTGAGTGGTCAGTGGAGACCTCTGTCCTCACACTGGACACCGTTAAGGCTGAGGACTCTTGGCTGCCTTAATTAGAAATGTGACCTCTTCTAAAAATGGTGGTCATTGAAAGAAATGGTGTCATACAAGTCATTAATCTCATTTTTTGAATGCATAGAACATGGCTTTTGGAAATTAAATATAATATTGGATGAGTGTAGCCATTAGGCTTCTTATCAGGACAGATACATTAACAATGGGCGTGTGCCAATACTAGCTCTCTTGTGATTGTCTTATAATCAAATTAAGTGCATGAACAGTATTGGATTTCTGTCTACTCATGGAAAAGAGAAGATGATGTTCAATTATCTGAGAAATAGTGTGCAAATTAATACCCCCTGTGTATTAGGGCTTTGGTGACAAGATTATAATTATATACTTCATATAATATTATTAAACAAATACTTACTCTTTTATTTTGAATAGAATGGTTAGTTTTGTTTCTAAGAATGTGTTTCTAAAGAGGAATAGAAGTGAGCGAAACAGACATCAGTTAAATGTCTTTAAATGGCCATTATGTCAACTGAGTTATTTGTGATGGTGTTTTTAGGAGTTAAAGCGTAGACTGGAAGAGAAGAGGCCAGTTATAGAGCACAGCTTACATACAGGCAGACTATATCTACAGGAAGATGGAGAAGACAAACGCCTCAGTGCAGACAGTGGTGAAGGCAGTGACCTCTCAGGTGTGTATATAATACCCTACGTAATATCGTCTCGTGATCTGCTCTCTCTCATGATAATTTGGAATACAATTTGGTTAAGCAATTGAGTATCTTACAGTTGAATGTGTTACATGTAGGTAGAAGATTAGGGTATTACAAAAAGAAATTATATATACTGTTTCTTTCTAGAAGATGAAAAAGAAAGGACAGCAGAACAAGAAGCAAGGCATTTAATTCGCAGCATACGCCGTTATGTCAGAATTTTGACCAAAAAATGGACAGAAATTAATCAGGCCTCCAATGAATGGCAAGCCATCGTAGATGAAGTGCTAGAGGTAAGTTTGAAATGTTTAAATTAAATATATTAGTAACATTTGTCTTTTATGTTAGTGAAATAAAGGAATTTCCGGTTAAGCATGCATGTTTTATTATTAAAGCATTCTTTGGTTTTGTGAAACTAAAACGTACTTATTTCCCCTCCAGCGTATGGTTGTCTTCCATACTGCATTGGACGGTCTTGCCAGTCGTCTGCAGGACTTAGAAAGGGAAAAGGCAAGGTGGACACCTGTTGGGGATGTTATTGTGGACTCCTTACAACAGGAAGTGGACCAAATAAAGGTACAACCTGTTACAAAAATGTTCTTTGAATATGCATATTTTTATAGCAAATTGATGATTCAAGAAGTAAACAATAGCTTGCACAAACTTTTGTTTTCTTTTGTTTGTCTCTCTTTTCAATTCCAAGTAGAATTGCCATAAGAAGTTACAAGAAAAAGTGTAAAAGATTGTATTGGTTTGTTATTTTACTTTATTCTTTTTTTTATATTAGGCTTTTGAGTTACGGATAGCCCCTAACCAAGGCCAGATAGATTACGTCAATGACCTTGCCAACCAGTTCCATGCTCAGCGTGTTGTCTTGTCACATATCAATGTCAATAAGCTAGAAGATTTAAATGCAAGGTAAAACATAATAAATTGGACAATTGATGAGGCTAAATAACATCTGCAAAATATCAAAAAGGAATGTTGGTTTTCAGAGAGATAAGGTCTCATTTGTATTTAATAATATCAGAAAATGGACTTATAGATGCAGTATTGGAAGCTGTGTCACCCAACACCCAAAGAAACAGAACCTGAAAAAAAATTGTTCATCTAAACAGCTTTAATAAATAATGATTGCTATATAAATATGTTTGAAATACTGTAGGTTACTATGCTGTCAATATATTGTTTTTGTTCTGCCTGACATAGTGAGAGAGGGGAATTGTCATTATTTCCATGTCATACACAGTACGACAAACTGCTCAGTTTCCACCCTTCTGTTTAAACATTACTGCTTTTCCATTACAGGTGGAAAGCTTTACAGGAAGCAACAGAAGACAGACATAAACAGCTTCAGGAAGCCTTACGAGATTTTGGACCAAATTCACAACATTTCCTCTCAGGTATAAAACAGGAAATTGAGCACACATGCAGATGTAGATATGCTCTTTCTTGAAATACTTTTAATACAGTAGTGACATTGAGCTATTCTTGCTTTGCCTGTGAATAGTTTTTACACCATCATCATGAGTATGTATAACATTTGTGAGCAATTTCTTTTATCATCATTTCACAGAAAATATGTAAGAGGTGTGTGTGTTTGTGTGATAAGCCCTTGTAATTTTATCTTATAGTTATGTATAGTGTATTTTGTCTGTTATTTATTATATATATATATAAACTAGTGCTTTTTATGTTCCAGCATCTGTAGAACACCCCTGGGAACGAGCTGTAGCAGGGAATAAAGTGCCTTACTATATCAAGTAAGTGAATGTTAGCTAACTGACTAGGGACTATTGGCATTTATACCTGCTTTGTGATTCTTGGAACTTTTTGCCAATTTTTGAAATTCAGCCAAAGAACATTAAATGCAGCACACTAGAATTTGTAAAGTTTAAAGGGATGGCTGCTATTTACATTTTGTTCTAGTTAAAAGAGTTTTTATGTTTTTAATATATACATTGTGTTTTTTTATTATTATCCAGTCATACCACAGAAACCACCACTTGGGATCACCCAGTAATGGCACAGCAAATGCAGAATATCACAGAACTAAATGATGTCCGCTTCTCTGCGTACAGGACAGCCATGAAACTGAGGGCAATGCAGAAGAGGCTGTGTCGTAAGTAGAGAGTACTTTTGTACTAGATAAATACACACATTTTGCATTGAAGATGTGTGCATTGTCTGTGCTCAGTCTCTTTAAATGATTGTCATTACGTGAAATCAATTATAGTTTGAATAATGTAAGAATGTTTCAAAATTATCCAGTTAAGAAGATTAATAATAAAAGACATTGTTTAAAACTGGAGATAAAAATGTCAAACCTCATTAGCTAAACTCTGTATAAAAGAAAAGATGGACAAGAACCACAATTTGATTAGTTTGTGTTGAATACCAAAACTCCCCTTGGCTGTTTTGTTCCACACGGCCAGAAATAATTTAGAAATGGGAGAAAAACTTTGTCAAAGGTGATAAATTCTCAGTGCTTTTCTATTGCAGTTGACCTGGTCAGCCTTAATGTTGTGATAGATGCTTTCGACAGTCACGACCTTCGTGCTCAAAATGACCGGCTGATGGACGTGATGGAGATCATAAACTGCTTGACCAGCATGTACGAGTCCATCCTGGAGGAACATCCTAACCTAGTCAATGTGCCATTGTGTGTGGATCTGGTGCTCAATTGGTTGCTCAATGTTTACGACATGTAAGTCACTAAAAGACATCATTTGCCAATAGTAATTTGATTTAAGATGCATGTATAAAAATCACTTTTAAATCATCTGCACTTATGAAATTAAGTATGCCTTATAAGTTGTCCTCACAGAAATTATATATTTGTGCTGCTTTGGCCCTCAAAAAATCTTTTGTTATTGTGACAGCATTTTTATATGATATATTGGATAGTTATACTAGTAAGTATCTGTTGATTTCAGAGCCCGTGGGGGAAAGATCCGGGTCTTGTCATTCAAAGTTGGTATTGTGTTGATGTGCAAAGCTCATCTAGAGGATAAGTACAGATGTAAGTTTCTTTTTTTTTTAATAATAAGTAAATGGCTAATCTGCTCATGGATTTAATGATTAGAAAAACTATTCTTCATGACATACCCATTTTTATATGTGATGATTAGAAAACATTTCTATAAAATGGTACATATCTTAAAAGTGTGCATTTATGAAATCTAATCATGCTATTTGAGACCATCTGTTTTTAGTTCTCATACTGTTTTTGTGGTTTCAGACATCTTCCGTTTGGTTGCTGATGCAAATGGTCTAGTAGACCAGCGTAATCTAGGTTTACTTCTACATGACTGTTTGCAAATTCCCCGTCAGCTTGGCGAAGTGGCTGCATTTGGTGGAAGTAACATAGAACCTAGTGTTAGGAGCTGTTTTGAGAAGGTGAAACCAAGTTACATATCTGTCAGTAAACCTAAAAGGTTAATCTACCATTTATTCATTATGATAAAGATAGTTGGTGCATACTTCTCTTTGAAGTGAACTTAATTAAGTAGAGCAGAAGTTGTTAACTTGTCATCATCATTAGTACTTATGGTCGGTTGAATTCTCTGTGTTAATTCCATCCTGTAGTCTAATGGTAAGAATGAGGTGCAAGCGTCCCACTTCCTTGACTGGCTAAAGATGGAGCCACAGTCCATGGTCTGGCTCCCTGTGCTGTATCGCCTGGCCGCTGCTGAAACTGCCAAACATCAAGCCAAGTGCAATATCTGTAAGGATTACCCAATCATTGGATTAAGGTAAGATTTAATTATAATTGTTAACCAGTCTTTCCTGTTTTTTCCACTTTTAAGTATAATGATAGCGTGAAGATTTGAATAACAATCATGTGGTCTTTAGATTTATAGATATGTTAACATTAAATTAAAAGATAATTGAGGAATATATGACAAGTTTGTATCAGTAAATGTTGTACAGCTATTGACAAGTAATATGGTTGCTTTTTCCTGGTTAGTAAGATTTTGTGTTTAAGTGGTTTGTTTGTATTTTTTTAGATACCGCTGTTTAAGGTGCTTCAATTTTGACTTGTGTCAGACCTGTTTCTTCTCTGGAAGAAAAGCCAAAGGCCATAAACTCACCCACCCTATGCAGGAATATTGCACAGCAGTAAGTCTTAACTCCTGTTTCATTATCTCTTCTGTCCTTTTGTCACAGAATCGGTCAAAAGATTATTCATAGAGGTTATATTTGGGAGTCTCTGATGTGATAATTTGAATAAACCAGAAATGGCGAGTAATCAGCTTTACAAGAAAGAAAATTAAGAGTAATAGTCCATGATCTAAATGAATGTAGTCACTGATGTGTAATTTTGGTCAATTATCTGGATAATTCCACTGTATCACAAGGGATTTATTTTGTCTTTTAGAATTTGAATTACAAGTATTCATTGATAACTATTTTGGTCGGAAAAATTCTGCACCATTGTTTTCTGAGTGTAGGCTGTTAACTGTGAAAAGACTCATCTATCACATTGTACGCTCAAAGATTTGCTGCCTGATAAGTGGCCAGTAATGTGATCATTGTCTTAGTACAACTTAGCTGTATTGATTGTAGCAGGGATACCATTAGGATGAGTGGTTTCTGGCCCTGGCACTCGGCATACGCTTGGAGTCAGGAAGAAACAGTTTTCCCAGAAGAGAGCAAAAAATCAATTTTTAAGCTGCTCCAGTTTGAATGTGATATTACATGATGTTTAAGTTCAAGCTTGGCTGGGAAATAGGATATGTTTGTGATATAAGATATTGTTTAATTTTTTTTAAAGCATACCTTTTTGTATTTTTACAATTATAACACATGATGGGATTAGTAGAAAATTAAGAAGGCACTTATCAGGTGCTGTTCAAACAGATCCTGGTAGCTGGATTAGATGTTTGTGTTAAGCTTAGCATACTCCAAGATCCATCATATATAATCAATATTAAAGTTCACACAAAGTATATGGTTACAACATATCTTAGGACTGATGACCTTTTACTATCTATAATTGTCAAAGGCTCAGTTGTGCCTTATGTTGAAATCGATATTCAATTACTGTATATTAACATCATTAGAAGTGCTGTGGGGATTTTAGCATTATAAAATTGAGCAATAGAAAATTCACTTTACATTTTCTACCAAAATGCCACTTTTTCTTTATATAGAGGCTATGTATGGCATACTATACCCCATAATACATGGTAAAAGATAAACAAAATTTACTCCATGCAGTAGATGTATATAATATACCCAGTATATCTATATATTCATGGTAGTTGGCTTAAGTGGACTAAGGCTTTCCTGTAACAATTTGTGCAAATAATGCTTGCTGCTGTATTGAGTTGATATCGATGTTATTTCTGTCTTTTTCCTAGTAGCTAAGAATGGCAGATTGGCCAGTAGGTAGAACTTTTATTTCCTTGATAAATTTCCTGTGAATTTTTTTTTTTTTTTTAGTGCAAAGTGCTACGGAAGTTGGCCATTGAGCAGACTAGACTCTGTAATAAGATAGGGTTATCAGAGCATGCAGAAATACCATTGCTCAGTGTCTTGTGTTTATTTGCAGACAACATCTGGGGAGGATGTGAGAGATTTCTCTCGAGTGTTAAAGAACAAGTTGCGATCAAAACGCTATTTCAAGAAGCATCCAAGACTCGGCTATCTTCCTGTACAAACAGTATTAGAAGGCGATAATCTGGAGAGGTAAGTCTTCAGTTGCAGTTTTTTAATATCTGATAAAAAAAATGAATAAATTCTAGTTTAGTGTTAGCAAAAACATCAGCAGGTTTGATAGGTTCTGAATTAATCCCTTTTCAAAACAAACCAACGTGAACATGTTACACGGAAAGGGCTTTTATTCACAAATGATATAGAGATGTCCAATTTTGAAATCAATTCAGATATTGATGTTAGGCAGTTAATGCCATCACCATCCAGCAGCTCTGCGTTGTAATGGAGTGCCTGCATTACCTGGTAATGATGTTTTTACCTGACAGCTGAAGTAAAGAAACTGATTATCCAATTTCAACAAGAGATTCGTTGCATGTAGGTCTGCAAATGTCATAAGTCTACAGTTAATCAACAATAGAGAGGTTTTTCAATTGAAGTCCAATTAGGGGTTCAGTTTGGGTGAATTGCCAGGCAAAGTTGGAAATACATGTGTATACATAAAGCATACCTCTGAGTGTATACACATATGATAACCTGCAACTAGTTAACAATTATTTTAAGGAAAGAAAGATGTAAGGAAAGAAAGATTGAAAATTGTAAAGTGAATAAGATGGGACATTTTACCATTTCTCTATTAATTTTTTTTTATTTATTGATGTTTTCACCTTCTGTAAATGACTCATGGTCCCTAGTGTCTGTAAATCCTGTTTTGACACTTTTGCTCCCACGCAAGACACATTTCCACATGAGACTCAGTAAACAGTATTGACTCTTGAGAAAACCCTGTGTGGCCTCCTCTCCTTTATGTGTCAGGGAAGTTTGTTGTTAGTTATGTGGTAAGGTAATGCATTCTGAGTATAGTCCTGTCTCAGCCGTGGGATGGCTGCACTTAGCGACTGATTACTAGGATATTGTGTGACTATACAGGCTAGAGAATGACTGGAATTCATTGAGCTTTTTCTCAACGGAAAAAGATCAGAAGCTCTCGCAATCTCAGTATTGCAGGCATTGAAGCAGTTCATGGCAGCTGTTTCGTGAGATATAGACATAAATGATTAGTGGGATGTCTATTTGCTCTATTTAAGAATTGTGAATTGACTGATCTTCCAGCATCTGGAATAAAAGTCTGTGCAGTTGTGATTAACTTGTCTTCTTAGCAGACACATGTCACTGTTACACTGTTGTTGTTACAGCCCGTCGCCGTCTTCTCCACAGCACACGTCAAGAGAGATGCACCAGCGACTGGAACTCTATGCAAGCAGGTAAGCCATAAGTAGCTTCAGTTGGTGATAGCAGCTGTTTCTAGAGTTACTGAAGCATAGTTTAACATTCTAGACACTTGCTTTCTAGCTGTGAGTCCAGATAACAAAATAAGCAGACCAGAATTATATTTAATGAACTCATAGTTCTTAGTTATATGCAGTTATATTATGGGAAAAATATGATGCATTGATGGTACAATTTGTTATGATGAATATGGATGTGGCTGGCCTGTTTGCAATATGTTAAGTTGCTTTACTTGGTTATAATTGTGTTGCAGATTTTTTTGTCTTAAAAAAAACCAAGGCTGCATGAAAAGATGATCATTGTGGCTTTTCAACAGTATTTCTTTGATTACCGTGGCTTGTTTCATTTTCAGTCCCTCTTCCATTGCATCATCCCAAAATACCTCCCAAGAGATTCACCCACGCCTGGAACTGTATGCCAGCAGGTAAACACAGCGCCATCTACTGAACAAACTCCAAACAATGCAGCTTCCCAGTGGGAAATAATTGACCATTCTGTTTTTTCATTCATTATTCTTTTAATTGTTTATGGGTGTTATTTTATGCTGTGCAAGGAATAATGGTATGGCTCTCTTGTCCAGTGTGCATGAATATTAGACATATTATGGATGAGTTTTGTTATTAATGCAGCTTTTTCATTATCATGATTTTGTTTAATTTGTTGTTGATTTTGTGAAATGCTAACAGACTTACCTTGGAATTCATTATTTTTAGACTGGCAGAAGTTGAGCAACGGCAGCAGAGTTCTACACCAGAATCGTAAGTTGATCTTAATTGTGCATCTAAGCTTGAGAATAACTTGGCTATACTGGTGTGACTTTTCCTGATTGTTTTTTTTATTTTTATTTTTTCTTTAAATGTTTTTGTTGCTTTTGCAGGGAAGATGAACATCACTTAATAGCTCAGTATTGCCAAAGCCTCAATGGGGACACGCCAACTCACACAGTAAGTACTTTGGTGCAAAATGTGCATTTCATTTTTGTACATTTTTCATAGAATGTGCATTGGTCATTGCTTTGAGACTTCTTTCCATATTATGATGATATTATTTACCAGTGTGTGTCTTTTAGTTTTTATTGTCTTTTTGGTAAGTGAACAATGTTTAGTTAGGAGTGCTTTGATCAGTATGAGTGTTTTCTTTAGTTACAAAGGCAAAATATACTTTCGACTTCCATGTATTATCGTTTGTCACAAATTTCCAGTGCTGTTTTTGTGGCAATAATATATTTTCATGCTGCCATCACTGCAATCTCAGCTACCAAAAAATGTCTGAACAGTAATAACCTTGTTTGCATGTATTTATTTTCAAATGCCTCATTGAAGTCTTGAAATACTGAATTAAAACAGCATGCAGGATAATTTCAATATTATTATGTGTATTTCTTTTCTGAAACTGCTAAAACCCTCAAGTACAATTTACTATTTTGTGATATACTTTATTAATATTTGTCATATATTTATTGCTTTGTAGCCTGGGTTTCTCTTGTATTCAACCTTATTGTTATAGAAATAAGCAGAGTGGTAATTAACTTTTGGTAAATTATATATATTTATATATGAGATATCAGTATATCTGAAGTTAGCATTTTTTTTCACGGTTGCATGATAATGCTCTGCCTTGGTTTGAAGTGCATTGTAAATGACATGATTACATTTGACAGCTTTATTTTTTGCATTATCAAAGTAGTTGGATACATTTTGTCATGTTCTTAACAAAGTGTGTCAACTTTTGTCTGTCCTTTTCAAGCGTTATCATGTTGATGAGGAGTTGCACCCCAGATTTGTGGTCCCCCTGCAGGTATATGCTTCTCCTTACAGCTTATTGTTATGGAGCCATTACTTTATCATAGTCTCATCACTAGACTAGAAGCTTGTCACCAACCACATTAAAACAGAATTCTCAAAAATATATGTGGAAAATTAAGATAAATAATATTAGGGTACTTCTAGCAAAAACAATTTAGGTCATTGTAGTGCAGATTGTGTTATTTGGCTGTATAATTCCAAGTGCTATGCTGAACAAACCAAGTTTTAAGTCTTAAACTAATTCATAGTATAGTCCCAATGCATAAGGTTCTGTTTGTCAATACATTATAAAGTATCAATATCAGTAATGATGTGTGTTAGGGTTTCCCTACTATTTTTGAAAGACCTGCTCTCTTCCTTATGTACACATAACTTTATTGCTGATACCGATATTTTGTTTTCTTAAAAGCATGTCTGAACTACATATAGTAAGGTGCACTGTATATTGAAGTATGATAGCAGAGATGGCCCGATGGTTGTGCGTGCATGCATTGCTCACATATTATTCATCATTTTGTCAAACATGAAAATGCATTTTCAGCAGCAATTTAGCCACAAACAGATTAGCATTTTCAGGAGCTTTGACAAATTCATCTGACAAGACCACCTCTGATTAGCCGTTATCTCTTCTGCTTTCAGTTGAAGAGCCCCATGCAGATCATGCTGGCCATAGATGCTGACCAGCGGTCAGAACTGGAGGCCATGATCAAAGATCTGGAGGAGGAAAACAAGTAAGTGATCTATCTGGCATGATGGGTGACTGAGTGCACTCTTTTTGGCTTTTTTACTCCTTTTTCTGTTCAGCTGTTCTGATTGTAGATAGCCTTGCATTGAGTTGCTGTTCCTGTTTAAGCTGCAGAGACCTCTGGTTTGCCCCAGTTCTTGCAAGTGCTTGCCAGTGTATCAGGTTTAAGAATGGCATTAATGAAGTTACATTTTTGTTGAGTTTGTTTTACCTCTACCAAGATACCTAGATACAGCATCATTATCTTAACCTATTTACTGCTTACAATTTTGCAGTTTTGTTCATTTTAAGATAACATTACATCATACACTGAAAGTTTATAAGCCAAAGCAGTATTCAAATTTTTAGCAATATAAACTCAAGATATGTGTGCGGTACAGCTTGCTGAAAAGAAATGATCATACTGAAACAAAAACTGCCTTGCATTTGTTTGTGTAGAAATCTCCAAGAAGAGTATGACCGTCTGCGCCAGGCTCACGATGACCATGAAGAACAAAGCCATCGACCGCATGGTGATGACGAGGAGTTCTCTAGTAGCAGAGATGCAGAAATGATTGCTGAGGCCAAGCTGCTGCGTCAACACAAGGGACGCCTGGAAGCAAGAATGCAAATTTTGGAGGATCATAACAGACAGCTAGAAGCTCAGCTGCAACGTCTGAGGCAACTTCTAGATCAGGTACTTACACCATGCAGGCTGTAGCATAATGTGAATAACTGATCTACTGGGAATGGAATTGTTGATCAAGAATGTGGGTCAGGCAACTGAAGTAAAACTTCAAAAATATCATCAACCGTCCTATCTACTAATTATTTTGCAATGGTTTTATTTTGCATTTTTAATTTTGGTTGCAAATCATGATTTTGAATGTACTGTTATTTGCATGAGCTGTTATTAACCATTTGTATTATATAAGAACTTGTAGACACACAGTGTGTTCCATAGTCATAAACAGCATGCTTAGCCGTCTAGCCCTTTAAATTAGGAGCCAGAAAATTGTGTGGAAGTCCATATTAGCAGAAAGATTCTGGTGTATTTGTTAGACATTTAGATATGGGTATACAGGGTGTTTAGTGGGAGCCAGGCAAGACATTCTTCTTCAGTTGAGAAGGAATGTAATTTTTGGAACATTTTGATTGAACAAAACTGCTGCAAACTATGAAATGGGAGGAAACAACAAAAACTTTTTTATGTCAGTGCTATAATAGTTGAACTGAAAAAACTTAGTCTTTCTTCAACATCTGTTGTATCTGTATTGTTTCTTAAATTTGATTGTTTGCATGATAATTGCTCTGCTCATAATCTTATTATTGAACTCAGTACGTGGAACATGGATTTAAAGCTTGTAAGTTTATGTAGCTAATTTAATTTGGATCAATACAAATGCTATAAAATGTTGAAGCAAACCAGATGTATTGCATGCAACGTTCAGCACAGTTGTTAAATGGTAATAGGATTCCTTAGTCTCAAGTGAGTAGCATACATGTAGATGCTTCTTTTGCAATACATCTAGATAAAGATTTTCTTCATATCCAAATTTAAAGACAGTTTGATATGATCTAAGATAATTTGATATGATCTTATATTTTCAGCCCTCAGACGAGCCCTCCATAAGTTACGTCAGCCACCAGCGTTCCGCCAGCCAAGCATCCACAGTCTCCCAAAGTTCGTACCAAGGTGACCCATCACTCAGACTCCAGTTTTCTCCACAAGCACGCTCTACACCACAAATGAATGGACACAGTGCTAATGGTAATGACAGACAATTGTATCTTGTTTTCTGTCTGTTTTATTGATTTTACTCTTCATTTTAGTGATCCCATTATGTTAGATATGAAGCTTATTGGGGAAAAAGTGCCTTTTTGCCATACACAGTTCTTAATCACAAAAAAAAAAAGACTCTGAGTGCAATTACAGAGTTGTGTCTTTTCTAATAGTTCCTTTGATACCTCAGTGATACAACTTCCATGGGAGATATTCCATGAGTGACAATCCATTTTAAATGACACATTTCAAAATAGCTGGCAAATGTGATTAAAAAGCTGATCAGTAGAATACATTCAAGAAGCCAAAAGATCACAAGCCTGGCAACTGAGAAATCGATGCGGTTCAATTGGACTGTGTTTCTCTGGCAGCCTGTGGCTCGTAGATCAATAGTTCTGTGCTAGGAATCAGTGAGTCAAGTAGGCAGCGCCATATGCTGCAGTTGCTGGTTAGGATTACATGCTTCTGTCTCCTCTGCTGCCACGCTGAGCTGAAAGGTTTGATTCTGTAGCATTGTATCATAATGCTTAGTGGTAGACATGTACAGTGTAGTTCCAAATTAGGTTTTGAAAGAAATTTTATCATACTTTTATAAAGAATAAGTCAACATTGTATATTTATTTCCAGGTTTTTCGCCCAGTCCAAGGATGGAAGATTCCAGGAAAAAGTCCAGCTCAGTTCAAGAAAGTGAATTAGATGAGATTATGAGAGAAATTAATGAATCTTTCCCACCTCCAGAAAAGAGCAAAGGTTAGTTAAGTTGTTGCATTACCAAGAAGTATAGTTAAAGAATTAAGATGTCAATTAATTCAGAATGAATTAACTATAGCATAAAGTTAAAAAAATGTTTCTTACATGTAGAATTATTGATATGCCAAGTATATTTTAAAAGAAAGGATTAACAAGTATGATATCAAATACATCTCAAGGAATAAATCGCTCAAATATGTTTGAGATGAAAAAGTATATGATGTATTAAAAGATTATTTTGCTATTTTAGCCACTAAGAATGTTGGTGAGTTGTTCCACATGGCAGGGCAGGTGGGACGGGCAGTCGGTACACTGGTCACAGTGATGACAGATGATGAGAGGAGCGGCAGTGAGGAAGAGAGAGAAAGTCCAGCCTATCCTGGTCCTCCTGGTGACAGAAGACATTGACTGCCTGTACTGTGATCACACACACATAAACACTCACACACACCAGCTTTTGGGCCAGAGATTAGACACTAGATGGAGCCTCCAGTCCCAACTCGAGAATGAATAGGGAGGGGTGGGATTAATCAAGATCATAGATCTGTCATTGATGATATTTTTGGAGAGGGAAGCTTCAAGTGGACTTTTAAGTCTGGCTAACAATAATGTGCATAGTGGCCAAATGTGTTCCACATGCAGTCCTAGACTGAAGAAAGTTTGCATAATGCAGACAGGACAGCTGTATGTATTTATAGCAGGCATGGAAAAATTTTGTATGGACTGTGTGTGTCATTCTTTTCTCATTTTCCTGGAATTTAGTTGCTCTGGTAGACCAACAACTTTTTTTATCATAGAGTCTTATCATGGATGTGGATAGGTTCTTTCATTTTTTTTATGAACTTCGGGAGTCTGTGGTGACTTGCTACTCAAAAAGTTTGCATTTGCCTAATCATTTATGTTTTTATGTACTGTTTTTATGTAAGTCTGTGCAACTGTGTCACAATTACTGACTTATTGCTTGGATGTTGTCCGTGTGACTGGAAGCTGAAAGAACTTCAGGACTTCCCTTTCACTAGAAGTATGCTGTTATATTGTATGTTAAGTGTAAAATGAGATACAATGTATGTATCCTATGTCCAGGGCATACATTGCAACAGACAGACAGCAGTGAGAAACATACGATATTTAGTCTGTATCATAGTATGGTCAGATAACGCTGACACCTATTGGTCAGTATATTTTGTGTACTTTTTGTTTCTACCATTTTTTTCCTAATAAGTGAAGTTTTACTTAGGATTATTCTTCTCTAAGCAGCTGTATTTTTTGTAGTCTGTGTTATACCTCATACACATCAGAAGTCAGAACTTCATTTACTTTCCTCAAAGAGGCCAAATATACATGTACGTAGACTAGATTGAATGAAAGATAATTAAATTAATTATTATTTTTAGATTTCAACATAAATTATTTAATTGATCCACAGGACGGCAAACAGTCGTGAGACAGTAGATTTTCATATTTATCCATATGTAAAATGAATATTCTTATGTAGCATACGTCTTTTAGTATGCATGTATGATCGGAGGGATGGAAGGTTTGTCGCTGTATTTTCTTCAGCAGCCAGGATGTAACTGGTTTCATCATGTATATAATCAAATGAACAAGAAATAAGAAATCACTGAGTCATTTCCAACCTTAATGTTAATCTCTCAATCTTGTTGAAGCCAAATTATAGACAAATATGAAATACAGACCGACTTCTGATTGAGAACAGTGAAGCTAGGTAATGATTAGGTTGAAACCAGCAATAAGTTGAGATTACATAATTAAATGGCAAGATACAAGAGGCAAGGTTTCCTGATGATTGGTGGTATTTTTATTAACATTTTGTAAACATTTACATGAAGTACATGTATCATAGTGTAAATCTTCAATAAAGGAATTTTTCATCATACAAATGGCATTTTTCCACTTTTCCAGGTGTGGCATATGAATATACTAATCTTGTTAAGTGAAAAAGAATTTGCTTTTAACATGCAAAACAAAGTAAGAAAATGGATGTTTGATTACCAGATAAGTTTCATTTGAAAAATCTAATAGAACTGATGGCGGTGTAACATGCCAGAGAACCCCCTATGACAGAGAGTCTGCTTCCCATTCATTTGTACAGGTAAGCCTCGCCCTAGATTTGGACCCACTTAGCCAAATGCTAACCATTATAAGTAAACGGAGGGGGGGGGGACTTTTGTTACACGGACCCTCAGTTACGTTACACCGGTACACTTTGTTTTATTATGACCAGGCACTGTACACGTGCACATGGAGACATCACCTGCATCTGTTGTCACCGTGCAATCTGGCAATAGCACTTGACTCTTGTAAACCCATTAAAAAGAAAACCTGTTACTTATTTTTCTCAAGGTTATTCTTACCACTTAAATACAACTATGTTTGAATATTGAATGTTCAACAATACCGTACTGAAATTGTACAATATGTATTTAAATTTCTAGAGTGAACCGCCCTTCTAAATTCTCCTCGAGCTCTGCTGTCTTCTGTTAAACTTTTAATGCTTGTCAGTTATGTCATTCATATGTCCGTCAATTTGATGTTTTTTTTTTCATGTGAAAGTGTTCCTGCGAATATTCAGAAAATGTATCTACAGCAAAATTGTAGCCCAGTGCTTCAGACCTATGGGATTTCAAAGTCTTACCTGGAAAATAACTATTTGCGAAAAAAATATACTGAGACAAGGTGCGGTGCACGCCATTGTAATTGCTGGGCGACAGCGTCGGTGCCTTAGTTTTTTGCCTCAGTTTTCGGTATTTGGTACATGTACTTGCTGTCGCATGAAAAGCCGAAAACAGGCCACTATCGACGCAATTTGTTGATGATATTTCTGTCCATAAAAACAGCAATTTTCACTTACTTTCTGAACATGCTGTACAACAGTATTTCTACAATGGTTGTCCAAAAAATCTGTGTAAATGTGGAAGTAGCAAGATACTGTATATACCCTTACTCATTATGAACCTAACCGAAACATTAGCATGACAATAGACAGGTGAGTGAAGTATACCTGTCTAAACCAATAACCTTCCGAAGGTGTTGAGTGGACCAAGAATTCCGAAGAATCTATTTTTTTGAGTGGGCATACATGTAATATTATGTTTCGGCGCATTCTGCAATGGGGATTTTAAAACACTTATGAACGATTGATTCAATATTCTGCATCAGTCAATGTGTCAAAATTTTGATTCTGTAAACTAATCTGTCAACAGCCTTTCTTGTGAGAATGATGTCAACGACAACTCCCATACCGGTCGTAATTTGCATAACAATAATTCGCTCATCACAGTGCGAACTATCGTCTTGCCTGGTCACTTGACAGCTAGACCCTGTAAGAGAAGGACGCAGGATAGGTGTGGTGAAATCGCAGAGCCGAAAGATTCATTCAGTTGAAGCAAAGATATCATGTGAGTAACTTTTCGTCCACAAGCGTATAAGAGTGAAAATATGTTGCGTCTTATCAGGGAATTATTCCCTGGTCTTATGTACATAATTCGATAGTGTGGTACATGTATGTACGGCTAACGTAAGTACAAACTTATATTGTTCTGTTGTGATTTGAGTTACATGTAGCTTGACACATTATGTTCGTCAGAAACTTTCTGATTCAAAATTTTGTGAAATGTTATTTGCACCAAGGTTGTAACTTGCGACTTTTCATATATTTTTTAAGGGTTTAAATTACCAGGTAATAGTTTCCTTATAACTTCATACGTAATTATAAACTAACGATTTGTTAAAGTGGGTCACTGTATTTTTGAAAAGTTGTATGCTGACAACTTCTATAAATCTTGAAAAGCACGTTTCCGGTTCAGACGTACATGCACTCCTCTATACTGTAACTTTATTTCCACGTACCCAACGTACTTATATGACTCACCTGAACAAATGTGTATTATGAAATCACTATTTTAGTGTTGAACTTGATCTATCCATGTAAAACAAATCACTTGCCTACATTCAAAATTGGTCTGTATAACATGTCATTTAGTTTTGAGAAGATAAATGTGATGTTTGCACTGAAGCATATAAGCGAAGGAGAATTTTTTATAAGTTTTCATGATGCAACAAAAGCCATTGATATCCATACGATATTTCAGGATTTATAGTTTTACATGTATTAGAAGCAGTCTGTTTTATCATTTATCAAATAAGATATGCCGTTCAAAACGTTTACATACCATTTCCTTTTAAACTTTAATGTTTTACGTTACTTGATACTGTATAAGGTTATCCTCAGTACGATTTTTCAACATTAGTACACGTCTACCATCCTCAGTTTATTTAATGTTAATTTACGTTCAAATTTTATTTCAATTGTTATCTTGCATTATGTCGTTAACGTTATTTTCATATTTCAGAGCTGCCATTTCCTCCGCCGAGATGCCGCAAGATGCATATGCGACTGACAGGAGCTTTCCTTGTTTTCGACCCGTATTTTGGAACTGGACAAAGGCACACATGCTCACACACTTGTACAAATTGTATGGACAAATCGTGCTTGCTCATACTGTGATTTTCAAAAAATTTATGTCTACATTTCAATTTTTTGCATACTGCAACGATCGAACAATTTTGTTTTCCAGTTATATCTTAGATTGATTATGTTCTTTTTCAAATTATACTTTGGGACAAGCACGGATGTTTTGAATTTTGACACATAATGTTATGTCGATCAACTGCCGTATCATTTGCGACTACTACTTAAATTGTAAAATTTTATTTCCATGATTTAAATGACACTTGTGAGCGACAACAATTTTGCCTGAATAAATCTGCCTTTTGAGGGATCTAAATGACACAAAACTGAAAGTGATATTGATATACACTAAAATTTCGAAACTTATTATGTACTTGATTTGAAAATTTTCAAATAAGAAATAAGAAATTGATTTAAAAGTTTGTAAATTGAAAAATTAGACATTAACGAATGTCTCTGTGCTAGGAGGTTATTAAGATGCAGCCTAACCAAAGAAGTTCGTAAACATGAAATTGTTCTTCAATAATTAAAATGCTATTTAATGGTAAAATCTTAAGTGTATATGAAAATACAACGAATGGTGGCTGCATTATCCATTAATATTTGGTTAAAATATCTACCTTAGCTAATATGGTTATTTAATAATTATTCAAAATAACGATGTTTCTGCACTTTTTTGGGCGTAATAAAATATTCCTGAAGCCATGTATGCTAGAATTTAAATCCTCATTCTTAGAAGAATTGTTCAATTGCAGGGCTAACGTGTTAAAATGGCAAACTAAGGTGGATCACAATTTTCCTATCTGTATACTTTGAACCAAACTCTTACCAATTCTGCTATGAGCCCGTTCAATTTCTTTGTTAACTTTTAATCTATTTTTTCTTTAATTTTTTTGATTACGTATGTACTCTACTATATTAATATTTCAATATCGCTCCATTTTTATGTACAGACACAGATGATCATTATGCTGTTAAACATTATGTAATATTGCATCAAAATTTGAAAATAAACCTATTTTGGGCACTGTTCCCATGATGACCATTTAAGGAAAACCATGTCATTTACTGTTCTCAAACTTACAGAAAGAAACATGGGACTTAAATACAGCTTCAGTAGGCAATGCAATCTGTTTGGTAATTCTTTCTGCCGGTTAAACAGTTTTTTTGTGAAAGTTTAATTTTTCACATATTGGCATTTTCAAGGTGTGACTTTGAAGTTCCACAGGCTTGAAGACCCATGCTAGTCACATTTTCTGAAAATCCATGATACCTTTATTTTATTATTAAAAATTGATTGTCATTATGCTGTTAACCATTATGTAATATTGCATCAGAATAGAAGAACACACAATTTTGGGTGCTGCTGCCATGAAAACCATTATGGGAAAACCATGTTACTTATGATTGCCAAACTTTCAAAAAAGAAATACAGGACTAAAATGCAGCCTGAGTTGGAAAAGCAGTCTAATTGACTTCTTTTTCTGGAAGTTATACATTTTCAGAGTGTGAACTTGAACTCCTATGGGGCTGAAGCCTTATGCTTGTTACACATTTTACTTACATTGGAATTACCCGTTGAGCATAATTAAAATTTGATGTTGAATTTGCAGTTTAACATAATGTACTTTTGCATCAGAATTGACTGTACCCTATTTTGTTTTTTTCCTTCTTTTTGTCTGTACATTTGACAGCTTTGCTGCCTTGTTTCCATTTGATTTTGGAGCCAAATCCGAAATGAAAGAAATGTAACTTTCAAAGATTGGCTATTATTCTTCAAGAAAAGTACATTTAGAATCTTAGTTTAATACTTTTACTACTTGTTGTCATAATTTTACCATTTTGAGTGTATTTAAAGGAAGTAATTTTACATCCAGTTTACAAAAATGTGCATGCATATATTATATTTGTAATATATACGCTATAGAATAAAACGAAAGAAAAAGTACATTTTTTATACGGACTCAAAAAGTGCAATATTGTTTTTGCATAGTATGAATTGACACTTAAGGTCACAAAGTCTTTTATAGAGTTCATTTATAGTTTTCACATATTTTTTGCCTTCATGTTTGTTTTTGTTCGCCACGGTTTTAGAAATAAAATGTTCAAAGACCATTTTGTTTTAAGTTAATTTGTGGGGCAAGTTAATGGAGGGTTGACAGGTGGGGCGAGTCCATTTTGTCAGAGGGGTGACAGGTGGTGCAAGTCTATTTTGTCAGAGGGGTGGCAGGTGGGGCGAGTTCATTACACTGGAGGGGTGACAGGTGGGGCGAGTCCATTACACTTGAGGGGTGACAGGTGGGGCGAGTCCATTTTGTCAGAGGGGTGGCAGGTGGGGCGAGTCCATTTTGTCAGAGGGGTGGCAGGTGGGGCGAGTCCATTACACTGGAGGGGGTGACAGGTGGGGCGAGTCTATTTTGTCAGAGGGGTGACAGGTGGGGCGAGTCTATTTTGTCAGAGGGGTGGCAGGTGGGGCGAGTCCATTATACTGGAGGGGTGACAGGTGGGTCACTGCACATTACACATGTACAGGACAGTTCAATCAAAAAAAATGCAATACATGCAATAAGTGCAGTAGCAGCGATTTATTAAACAAGGTTTTGAAAATTGTATAAAGCAAAATAAAAAGGGTAAAACACCAAAGAGGATACAATTTATTCAAATGATTCTTAGCAATGCTTTTACAGACAGACGTAAAATAGTGGTTCTTAAAACTAGCTTTGACTTAATTTTTTAAAAATGTAACATTATTTGCTGCTATAACTATGTGTAATTCATTAAACAAAGAATAAAAAACATCTCGACTTTATCTCGGAAAGATACATGGCAATATATATGCTTAACAAAAGAGTTATTTTCACCTCAACAACAGTTATAAAGGAAGTAAACATTTTTCATCATATACATTTTTTGTGCTTTTCTGACCAACCTTCGATACATATTGCAGTACTGTACCAGAATATCTTCCGAGTTTTAATTGGACATCATCCAGTAGGAGTAAGCAATGACATAACTTACAGGTATATGTAAAGTTGGAAAGGACCCCCCTAAACAATGGCCATATTATTTAATCAAAAATGGTCTGGTGAGAAGGAATGCACATTGCTAACTAGAAAGAAAAATAATCAAATGAGTCACAAAATTAGAAAAGGTTACTTCTAATAACAAAAACAAAATGACGTCAATTTTGATCAAATTGCCGACCACCCCCACAGATAACAATATATAGCTTTGAAAAAAAGTCCACCAACTGGATTGTTAAATATCACAACGTGCCAATAACTTTCGTGAAAATATCCATTCGTGTTGATTTTTAAAATTCAAACTGCCTTTTCCCCAAAAAGAAACAGTTAGGTACATATATACTGTACGGCAGTTATGGTGTAAGCAAATGCGTCGGACAGCGGCAACTTTAACAAACACAGGTGATCGGAATATATTCACTTTCAGTGTCTATATTTAAAAGGTGATCAATATTATACCTTCATAATGTGCAAGTCTAATTTTTTTAAGGCAAATTTCAAATGTTTTAAGTTACAACGCGTTTAAAGTTGCGTCAGAATCTTTCTACTTTCTCAGCTTTTTGTTCAGATTTTAAAAGTCTTTATACTTGACGAAAAAGATCAGACGTTTTATTCGTCCAAGATTTATACGATCATTTGGGTCATCAAATATAGATCAATTTGCAGTGGCATAAATCACAAACCGTCAAAAATGGACCTGAGCTGCATCAAGAAAAATGAAGAAAATGATATCTTGGAAAATGAAAGAATTATTTCCAAGCTATAATAAAACGACCATGTTATAGAACAAAATGTATGATGGAAGCAACATTTCAAAAAGCTGGAATGTAGATTTATACATATGACAATTGTGGGTTTGAAGAAGATCTTTAGATATACTTTATCGGGCTTTTAATTATAAATTCTCAAATACTATCATTTACCAAGTAGTATGCATGTTTACAAAGCTTTAAAAACTATCAAAGCATTTAAACCATTTTAATTTCATATATCTTCAGTTATCGCAGAAAATCGCCAATCCTTAAGGCAATATTTATTAATCATATCAAGCACATTGAATTTGAAATTGCCCAAACGGAAACCATACTAATAATTATATCATCATACACCACTTATTACTACTATTTTTATCATCATCATTATTTCATACCGCAATGAAAAACCACAGAAAATGTATTTAATTAGCCTTAATATAACAGATGCATTGATAGGCGCAAGGCTCCTGAATGTCGACCCAAGGGCTCGGTAGCTTGCAGGCGCATGTTGTGCAGTATGCCGGTGGTCTTCTGAAATGTAAAAAAAATCATGTTAAATTTTTGATGAAACAAGGGTCTTTAATATGCGACCAACGCATGACATATCACTAGGAGAAGGTACTTAAAATAGAAATGCCGTACGTGTTTATTGGCTTTACGTTGGAATATGGGTTGCCTTACATCAAAATTATGGTCTGAAATGAGTGAATGATATAACTTGAAAGTACTCCGAAAGTGCAGACCACAATATAAAAAATAAACAATGGTAAGATAATAATAAGAAAACATTTAAATATATGAAATTAAGAATTGTAATTAATGAATATTACGTGTTACCTGTATATTTTAATATTTTGATTAAAATGCTTTATTGTCGATCTTTTTGACGTGTTTCAAAGAAAGAGCAGGTCAATTTAAAGAACTGACAAATGATCTTATTCACAAATTATCTTTGAAGAATACACAGAATATATTGTAGGCAATTTGGATGCAAGGTGTTTCTTTTAGATATGAAACAGAAATGCAGTTTTCAATGCAGTTGTTTATGTACAGTGGAGACGCTAGACTGTCTTTAAATACAATGTTTACCTAATCAGTATGTACAGATGACTCTAGCAATTGCCTGTATGAGTTTATACAAGTGTGTTATAATATATAAAGCATAATCATCTTACAAAAATATCTCCGAGTGCTTGTTAGTCTTCGGCAATTAGGGCTTACCCGAATCTCATCTGAAACAAATATGAGCTATTATACTGTCTTTAGCTGTAGGTAACCTGTACAATGATAATATTATATAATAATAACTTATTTCTTAGAATTAAGCTGAACAATGGTCTCAGCACTCCTTGCATTATTATGCGTTTTTAAAACCTTAAGTGATTTTAACTTACAAAGATTAATTTAAAACTAATGAAAGGTGTGAAACATAGAAAGGGGGAAATTAACCATAAAATTCTTTAGATAAAAAGTTTTTAAAATCCCTCCTAAACTATCATAATTGTCGTCAAGATAGACGTTTAACATGTTGATAAAATTTGACCATAAAATTGATGTACACGTCGATGGCGCACGGTTATTCTTGGATCAGAACTGTGACATGCGCTCTTATAACAAAACATTTTAAAGTCACAAAGCTTTTTTAATTGCCCAGGTTCATACAGGACTAAAACACAGCAAAGCTTACGGTATTTCAGATAAATTTAGGTTTTCAACAATTGTCTTCTGAATGCATCCTTCCTCTTGTTCGTTTTAATCAAATAGCCTTGTAACACACAATGTATATTCAAAACCAATATAAACGTATATTCTAATATTCTTGCCGACATACATACAAGCAACAATAGGTAAAATATTACAAAGACACGTGTTCAACGTTTGTCATCGCTCGCTTTCCTTTTTCATAGGTCCGCCCCTTTAATTTTAATGACGGAGATTACCAAAGCCGTTGTACTTACAAGATATATTTGCGTCCACGCCTAATAAATGTTCGACCTTGCTACTGCCCCGCACATCGCTGCGTCTTCACCTAACGCTGCCCAACTGTCAAGTGACTATTCTTTGGAGGATAGGTCGCACTGCATGAGTAACTTATTGTTATGCAAATTGCAACTGGCTCATTTTAGGTGAGAAGTTGTGGCTGAAACTGTTCACGAATGTTCAAGGTCAAAGTACATGCATCCACTTTTTTGTCATTTTCTTCCAACAAACTCAACACTACGTACTCTCATATCCCGTAAACTGCCACTCCCACAAAACTCGGCATTAGAGGAAAAGGGTGAATGCTATTAATTTTTTGTACCGATAAATATCCGCGTAATAATAACTAACTTGTTTTTATGGCACTCAGTATATATTCAAGAATCTCAAACCCAAGATGTTTCACTCCAATAATGCATGTATTCTGCAAAAGAAACTACGGGCCGAATAAAACTTCTTAGCAATTGCCCACTAACAGCGTCAACCCAGCAAAAATTTTGTAAGGCGCTCGCGAATAATTGGGCATTGTCTCACTTTTTATACCAATATTTTTTGGCCCGAGTTTGATTAAAGTAATGATTGCCGTTTTTATACCTTTTTCCTTAAATGATGATACGATGGTACATTACACTGGGCTTTTAGTAAGAACCTCTTTATGCCATGATTTATAAATTATATTTCTTTTGTCCTCTACGTGAATTATTCCCAGTTGATAAGCACTAAAACAAATCAGTCGAAGCGAGCACCACCGGTTCTTCGATAAATAACTGTATGAATATTTTTTTTTTTTCAATCTGGTTAACAGGGGCCTCATTCGTATCTGCAAGTTTTTTTAATTTCCTTTAATGCAGCGCGCAGTTTAGGCACTCTCACTCGTCGACATCGTTTTTTGAAGTGCAGCGAAATAATCACAAAAAATATCACAACTGACAGATAACTCTCCTAATTGTGCGAGGGGTAATTTTATTCAAAGCAGACTCAGATAACACCTGGTCAACATAGTCGGACTCGCTTAATATAATATATTAACAAAATTGACTTAACCAGTGTACCACTTATTTTGATGTTATAACGCATTAAGTGATGCCGAAATAATTATGTATTATCATTTTTTTTGGCTTAAATGCCCCCCTCCTACAGCCATATTCCGTTGCAGATTCTATTAGGCCCAGGCTATTAACTTGTTAAAAGCAAACGCCATTACACCTCTTTGCCTTACAACAAATACACGTTTAGTTAAAATTTTGTTACAATATTGTCCATTGCTCACAACATATGAACGATTGTTCAAAATTGCACACATTTACCGGAGGTGATATGGGGAAAAGAATGTCAGCACCAAGATGACTATAAAAAGTGCGGTAGCAGAACTGGAAACAACATGAAACATAATCAGCTCTGTCGCACCTATCACAACAAGCCTTGGTTCGAATGCAATAGCATCAAATCATCTCCAATAATATTAACTGTGGCATACATGGATGATCACCGTCAAACAAAACAGCTGCAAATGTTGTTGCTGTTGTTTTTAATAAAGCACCAAAATACTATTGCACTTAAAAAAGTGGCACAAGGGCCACACGATAACATCCTTGGTCTTCTCCAACGTGTCCCTTTAACACTGCATTTCTGTATACATCTCACTTCCAAGACGTCTGCAGTAAGCTCCCACTGGCGAACGTACATCACAGTAGAACAGATAATGCTGTGATATTACTATGGGAAATGTAGCTGGCACACTATTAAGATCTACCAACAATGCCCCTCTTCCTCCCACCAGCAGGCTTCAAGTCACATGTTGCTGGAGTCGGAGTACAGGCTGATTGAGGACACGTCCTGACACATGCGACTGTCCCCAAGGTCATCTGCCAGGGCGTAGAATATGTCCAGTAGCAGTGCCCTGCTTAAACGGCAGATCTGGGGTAACCGTGCCACCTGAAATGGGATGATTAAATATTTACTGATCTACTATGAGATACTATTCCCAAGGTGCCTCTGGGAAGAAAACAACGACAGAGGCCCCGCTACGCTGGCTTGATGTTTTCATGAAATTTAACATATTTCTGGATATCATATTCACTTATTATGGAATACTTTTTAATATTTTATTTTAGTAAAGCAAATTAAATTAGTATAGATCACATAAAACTGTATTAAATCTTTCACCACTTTGACATTTTCTTACCTTTGGGAAGTGATGAACAATGATGTTCAGAGCATGCTTCTTCATGTCCAATGCCTGAATACGGTCTGCAGCCTCCAGAATCTGAATTATTAAGAATGAGACTTCACATAAACAAATAATAGTAAAAAGTGGGGAAAAAAACAAATCAAAGGCAAAGCCTATCAAAATAACCACCCACTACCTTTCGAACTGCACAATCTTTATATGAATGAAAAAAGTCAAGAATTCTTGAGATAACTGGCAATCAATAAGTTAGATGTTATGGGATTCCCTTCCTACCTGGACCACATTCTCAAAAGACACATTCATCTCCAGGTTCTGTTTGCAGTAAGCCTGCAGCCTGTTGTTGGTGAAACCATAGAAGTAGGGTGCTGAGAACAAGTACAAGCTATCTTCTGGAGGCATGGTCACATCACCGTAATAGATGTACCTCATCAGGCTGTCAAAGGCCTGGCGTGATGGAACCATTTCTCCAATGGCAATCTGGAATAGGACAGGGTGTATATCAGGAGAAATAACTACACATTATGTCAAGCACAGTAAGAGTTTTAGTATAATTTGAAGTATCAAATGTGTTTATCCAACTTGTTTACCAAATTACGTTTACAAAATGCTAAATGCAACTTTTTAAAATCTACTTACATTATTAATAGTATTTATTTAAAAAGGATGAGTGTGAAGCTGGTTAAAAGGACAACTGTGACTGAATCATCATTAAAAGTAGATCTACAGATATAGATATAGATATAGAAACATAGAAGTACATATGTATGTCATTTGTTAGGTGTTGTAGCAATCAGATATGACGCAAATATCCTGCAGAAATTACTCACGCTGACTGTGTTATCCTCTGGCATAAAGGACCTGAACATGGCCTCAAAGTAGCTACACCTGGCTGCCAGGATGGCCTTGTGTGCCTGGATGGGAGTGCCGTCCAGCATGAGGGTGATGTCACAGAACTCCTGCCCTGTGTACTTCAGGAATGTCTCCAGGTCTTGCTCCAAGGTGTTGTCTGGAATGTGGCAGGCATAGGAATAACACCATCCATGGTATTACAATATAAATTGGTTAAACAAGTTTATATTTCTATCTTCCACAAGCAAGAGCCATTAATAAGGGGCTACATGTAGCATTGTACTCTTCTTAAACTAATCTTATCCCTTTCACAAGAAGTTCCCACACGAACACAGCGATTGGGGAGAGCCTTACTTTATCACCAAGGTGCCTTAAATAAGCTTTTGCACTTAAACACTTACAACTCTGCTTCTTCTTTCAATAAATTAAGTGTTACATATAATTTACATATTTATGGAGTATATCATATTCTATCTCATCTTCCACCTTACACTTACAGTTGGTAGTATCTGGGCCAGGCTCTGGCAGCAGTCTGACAGGTGGCATCTGCCGCCTCCTTATTATTTCCACCATCAATGAACGGTCCACATTCTCAAACTCCTTGCTCATCACTATCTGATTGTAGTTGCTTTCTTTAACTATAAACTTCAGACAAAACTCCTAAAATACAATATAAAAATCTTTGCTTTAAAAACTCCTTACTTCTGATAGAACAGTGAATCGTCACTTAACTGCCGGATGCTTCAATAATATAACACAAACTAGAAAAGCACTCCGAGAGTGCAGACCTCCGCCAAGGCAGCGATTTTTTATTATTATTGATTATTGCTTGATTATTGATCCGGATCACCACCAAAAACTAATCACTTCTAAGTTAACCTATTTCCGACCTACCCTGAAAATTTCATCAAAATCGGTCCATAACTTTTTGAGTTATGTTGATGACAAACAGACAGACAGACAAACAGGGGTGAAAATATAACCTCCTTGGCAGAGGTAATTAAAATCAAAACAGATGTTACTCTTCATAGGGATAAAATCAGGTCACCAAACAATCCATTATTTGCTATAATTGCATTACTTAACTAGTATGAATATGTGCAAAAAAGTATTTACCTTAAGGAAGTCTAGTTTGAGTCTTGCCGCATTCTGCAGAGCTACTAAGACATTTCTGTGATTTATACTGGCTTCAAGAAATTGTACACACAGCTGTTCTAGCCTCTTCATATGAAACTGGAACATGGGAAATAAATTATTTCAATAGTTTCCCAAAATAACAAAAAATTAATACATAAAGGCATTTTTGAATTATCTGTATCATTGCAAAAGCAGGCAATCACATACAATAAAATGTTTACAATGTTTCAGATAATGATTTTTAAAATAAAGCAAAAAAAATGCATTTTTGAAAAACATTTGATATCTGAAAAAAAGAAAAAAAATTGAACAATTCTTCCTTTTTCTTCTTTTAATTAGAAAATTTTTCTCATATATGAACTTTATTTCACTCATTTTCATTAGTTGTAGAGCATGTTCATGACTTAAGATATATTCAAAGATACTACACCTTCAAAGTGTACATACCTGTAATGCCTGTCTGTACACATCCATCATGGTGAGAATGACCTCATTACTGGTCGGCTCTTGGCCTAAAAATAGTGGACACTCAATATTCATATAGATATGTATACATGCATACGTATGATAAAATAGTTTACATAAAATTATTTAGTTTAAGTAACACAGTATTAATGTGGCAACGATTTAAATAATAAAGACAATTATGCAAGGAATGACTTTTTTTATGTTCCCCCCAGTTGAACACATAAGTTTCAATGGATTCAGTTAAATATTCATATATTTCTACTTTTTATTTATATCTTCATGGTTTGACTGGAACACTCACCTTTCTGAGTGGGATGTATTCTGTCAGTATAGATATAAGACAGAATCATGTCAAAAGCCTTGGCCTCTGCTTCAGGGAGATGCACTTCCAGTTTCTTGCTAGAGTTTTTGGAGTTCATTTCTTCGGCATTAGCTGTGGCAATTTGCTGGTTTAATGAGTTGAAAGTTTGTCAAAACTTTGTCACATGTTAATTTATTAAAACATTTCTTCAAACTGTACTATTGCTGTAGAAGTAGAACAAAACCAAATTGCCGGTAAAAATTGTAATTGTAAAGTGCTTTAGCTGCTTCATGTTCCAGACCAAGTCTGCATATGACTATCAAATAAACAATTTGGTTAATATACAATTACTTTAAAATTGGTTCTTTTGTCAAAGACACTAGGAACTAGTTTACATTATTGTCATTTTATATCTAGATTACCTGTTCTTTGGCTTGTTTGATTTTATTCCTCAGCCAGGAAGATCTGGCAGAAACCATGGAAATATGAGCAGGAATACTGACATTGTTCTAGAAGTAAATCAAATATAAATATAAATGTATAAATAAATATGAATATTGATGAACAAACCGAGTTAAATTATACTTTTGTGAGCAATCTTTTATTTCTTTGTGATTTGTTACTATGAGTTTTGCCAAATTAAATCAGAATAATAGAGTGTTGCTAAACATGTACATGTATAAAACCCTATTCATCATCAATTTAAGAAAGCTTGTCTGAACTGCATGTTGTACATTTTCAAATCATTTTTCAACAGAACATTCAAAGAAGCTCTACCTTTCCCAGCACAAAGTTGACATCACAGAACTGTTTGCTCTCTAGCAGCCTGCCGTAGTCATCATGCACTGTACACTTGGGATAGCTGGAGAACTGGAACCTGTAGATCTCTCCACTCCTCACATTGTTGTCTACTGTCCCACCAAACACATACATGGCATCTCCCACCACAGCTGAGGCATGAAAAAGACGACCAGATGGTACCTGGGGAAAACAGGTTTAAAATGATTAAAAAATAAACACACATACTGTTGTGGGGGTAAGAATATAACAACAAATGGTGACACAATGGTATGTAGTCTACTGAATATATTTTGGGCACTGCAAACATGTTGTCTTGTACTATGCACCATCACTTTTTTAGTTTACATTAAATAATACATGATACACACAGCTTCCACTTTTCACAGCCTAGTTTTCATTTATATGATACAAAAATCTATGGTCCCTACCTGGCTATCAACAGATGGCTCAATTATAGACCAGTTTTCAGAGTCCAAATCAAAACTGAAATAAACTTTGAATATAATATAAGTGGAAACAACTCTGTGTGAAATGTGAAAACATTCAATTCCATACATATAAAAAATATTTACTAGGAGACAGTAATATCCAATTTTACCCCAGATACATATCCTCAAACATATCTCCCTTCCCTAGATATATGATCTCCCATATTCCCTAGATATAAGACTAACTCACCAGTGTAGTTCATTGGGCAGTGTTTGTCCAGTAGCTCCTCCAAATACATATAGATGTCTGTCATAAGCCACCATAGTGTGACCATATCTCTTCTCTGGTGGAGGTGGTGCTCCTCTCAAGATGTGTTCTGTAGAGATTCTGGTCCATCTGAAATAACAAGGATATTTTTAACTATAGCGAGATGTCAGTAATCTTTAATAAAGAGTAAAATAGTTTACCTTTTTTATTATTTATCATTCAGGAGTATGCTAGAACATCATATGGGAAACAGATTATATAAAGATTCCAATTTCAAAGAAGCTTTTAGAATCCCATTCTATTTCACCAAGGTGTACTCAAAGAGAATTGAAAAATTACTCATATTATTCCATCATCTATAGAACCAAGCAGGCATTCTATAGTGTATTTCTGTCAAACAAGACACCGTTACAAAAAAGTAAAAACTGTTTACTGTTTTGAGTTGAAATTAAACTGGAATAGGTTATTGGTGATCTTGGCTCCACTCTGGCCTGAGAACACAAACATGCAGTCTCTAGCCACAGCTAGTGCAAAGTTACAGCAAGTAGGGGGAATGTCTCCAGACTGGTGCACCTGGATGAGAAATAGAATCTTTTTCAATAATCTGATTTGATATATAGTACAGAAATCCTCATAAACATTAGGAAGGATTTTAGTGCTTTTTGTGCAGGTGTAAAATGACAGTTTTATCAAAATAGCATCATATACTAACTGATCTACATAGTGAAGTATTGTGATTTGCAGTCAAATTAACCAGTTACTCCACCCCACCCCCACATGAGTGTTTCTCATATAGCAGAGGCTTAGGTCAAAATAAATATGATGCCACTATGCTGGTTGACAAACATACAGGTAAAAAAATTCTCTCCATTTCTGAAATATTCCAACACACCACATAGTATAGTGTTTATCTCAAGAAGAAAAAACTCTATTTCAGCATATTTGGCGTGTGACTATTTATCTCTTCTAAGATCCCTTATCCTTTATCAGATATAAAGGACAAAACACCTAGAAACTTTGGTTCTCGCAAACATACATCATGCACAAATGCGAGGTCCACCACGTTTGTGTCTTTTGTTCTTAACATGTGCCACAGCATAAGTCAGATGTACCACTCATACACCTGACTCATGAGGTACCTATCACAGGACCCTAAGAAAGAGTATAAATTTGATTACAGTGCTGTTAACACGGCATGTTACACTTCAATCAGTTATACCCCGTTCACACTACAATCTGAAATATCCGAATTTTTGCAATGCGAATTACGGGTGAAAAATCCGATTCGGTTGTCTGGCCACACACAGCAAAGGGAAACCGAATCGTGCACTGAAAATTCAGGTGGAGGTTCCGGTTTGAAGAATCGCGCATGCGCAGAATCCATGAAAACAAAAATATGGCGCCAATCATTGCTCTTCTCGCACTCAGTTTTTTTTCTCGTGTGTTTGTTTTTGGAACATCAAATTTAACCCAAAAGTCGTCAAAAGGAAGATTAAAGTAAGAACAGGAAGAATTTGACGGATACAAGAAGGAGACTAGCCGGATTCGATGGAGAGTGTGGGTCCACTGACCTGGCATGTTGCTTTTCTTTCCCGCGAGATTTGCTAGTGCATGCGCAGTGAGATCTAAACAGGTGGCCCTTCCGGTAAAGTAACCGAATCGCTGGAGAGAATCCAGCTTGCTAGTAGGATTTTTGGAAACCGGTTTACAAAAATCTTCATGCGTTCAGACTACCACAATAATTCGAATCTTGACCTAATTCGCTATTTAACCGGTTAAATGACTGCAGTGTGAACGGGGTATTAGGCTACGCCTACCTCTTCCCACTGTCTAGAGTCTCCTAGTAAAGATATCGTCCACATATCATTGAGCCTGGCATTGCCATCATAGCCAGCAAAAATCCACATCTTCCCATCATACACTGCAGCACCATGGGCAGCACGGGGTACTGGCATCCTACTAAAACATAATGCTTGTCACAGTGACAACATAATCAATATTCGACCCCCCTTCTTCATCCCTGTAATTATTAAGTTGCTAGCTGCTTTTATTTATGTATACACAGCACTGCTTTTTTTCCAGCAACATGACAAGGTTGTTTATTAGTAGCAAATGGAAGCAAGAAGACTAATGGGATTTTTTGCCTTATTGTACAAATGTGCACAAAACACATCAAAGAAATAATCATAACTGTATGAGTCAAAAAATATCAAAGAAAATATACCAAATATTTAAGATATAAACTGAAGTACATACACTGTCACGTGCATACTTATAAAACACTACTCTCTTTACCTTCCTTCAAACTTCCACTCCACCCACTGCCCTGTAGCAAACTTGTACTCAAACAGGTCATTCTTGTTGGTCAGGTTGGAGTTAGAATGGATGTCACCAGTGTAGCCACCTGTAAATATTGAAACAAAAAAACATCAACATAAATCAAAATACAGTAACCTGTAGGTTATTTGTCTGATAATAAATGTTCTGCTTGAGAGAAATAAATTCAAAATGATTGTTTATGTCAATTAAGTTAAAATTCTAAATAATATGCAAGTCAAGAAAGTAACTGGACAATCAGTCTTTTTCCCAGGATTTCTTTTTCTTTATTAAAACATGGGCTACACATATATAAAATAGTGTAATTAAATGAGCACACAAAATGACTATGTTACAGAAATATAAGTTATTTTTAAAAAATTTATGCAGAGGAACACAAACAAACAAACAAAAATAACAAATATATAAAAGGCAGTTGCCTAGAAATTGTGTTCTTACCAAAGACAAACATGCTTCCCTCATGCACCACTGCAGAATGGTGGTACCTTGGTGCCGGTGGGGTACCGGTGGTAAATGCCCTAGAACAATTGAAAGATCATCATCATTTTGAGAAAGCAGTACACTCTGGCGACTCATTCTCTTTAAATTTTCCCATACTCCTTTCCCTCTCCTTCCCTTTCTCTCTCTGTATCTCTCTCATATTATATTTTAAGATACATTTTTGTCATAGGTAATTGGGTAGCTGACAGCTTAAGTAAAGGATAAGTAAAAGATAAGGGCATATTATTTTCCAGAAGCTTGAAGAAAAAGAATCAAACTGAATACGTAATGTGGAACATACCTTCCCCATGACTTGTCTTTCACATCAAACCTCAGGAAGTCATTTAGCATGTTCTTCCTGAAAATATAATACTACGATATGCATAAAAATTTACTTCATAACTTAAAACTATAAAGCCACTGTGTTAAGCCTGGCACCATGAGGTACATCTTTTAAGTTAAACGTATGATATATATGATACATGAGCATCAGACAAATTAAAATTTCATTTCATATAAAACAGGCAACAAAGTACATTGCCTCCATCAGTTCATCGTGTGATGACACACATAAATTAACAAATAATTTTTGCATAACACTAGTAGGGTAAATAAATTGGTTTGCAAGCAAGACAGACCAGTCATTTACCCATTATCTCCTCCAAACACATAGATAGCTTCTTTGTATGCAACAACTGTATGTTTACTCCTCCTGAAAAGCCAATTCATTTACAATTTCAGAAATAACTGTCAACAAAATGGAAAGCTGCAAATAAAAAAATAAATATTTTCATTTAGGAAAAAGTATTTTGTCAGTTTAAAATGTCAATTCAGTTTGGACAGGTGTATAAACGTTAACTATTTAGTGTTGTTAATCTCCATAATTATGAAAATAACTGTCAGGATATGGTGCCATCGTCTACCAACCTAGCTCCAACAAACTCGTCACATTCTGGCATACGCCTCCATCGATGTACCGTCTCGAATGGACCAAAATCAAGCGTCAAACACTCCGCGCTCTCCGTCCAGTTATGGTGGTCAAAATCGACGCCTGGCGGTCTTGCTATAGCCATCCTTGAATAATAATGCTGCTCCCTATATAAATTGAGATGTTTAAAAGTTTTCCCCCCACTTAAATTGATAAAATTGTGGTTAAATTTGGTCTGAACTGCAAATTATCTTGCAGACCGCAACGAAAACATTCTTCGTACCGCCATGACAGCGCAGCGGATTGCAGGAGATTCTGTTCTCTGATTGGTAGAAATTCATGTAATTATCTAACATAAATTTTTATGATTATACCTTTACGTTCTATATGAAAATAATAATAATAATAATAACAATAATAATAATAATAATAATGTAAGCGGATCTAACATATTTTGTACCTGATATTTCAATTGTCTAAAATCCATGCCATTATCTAACATAATTTTTTTATGATTGCCTTTACGAAAAATATACAGCAGATGGATCTAATTTTAACTTATTTCATACTTGCTATCAAATTTTCAATTGTCTTTAACAATAGTTGGTAAATTTTGAGAAATGACGGGAAAATAAGAGGATATTTTCGTTACCCGCATTTAATCCCGAGATGCATGAAATTTTTATGCATTTGGAGCACCCTATTTCCGTGTCTCATAAATGCTGCTTTTTATTCTCTGCCCTCATGATTTCAAAATTTTCGACGTGCATTTTCATTGATATATGAATAAAATTTTATTTACTGTGATTTAATTGTGAATTGATGATTTTATTTCTCGTGAGTTGTGACCCCCCTTCCCAATGGGACCCTGAAATAAGGGTTTCAGTTTGGATTTATCTTCAATGTAAACATTACCTTAAAAAATTGAAGGCACTGCCCATTGCGAGCACTGTTTGCGTGTGTGCATGCGCGCGCGCGTGCGCGTGCGTGTGTGTGTGTGTGAGAGAGAGAGAGAGAGAGAGAGAGAGAGTATTGAAATGCAAAACTTGAGCGCATAATACAGTGTAAACCTATTTAATTGGAACGGTTTGAACAAATAAAAAGTGTGCCAGCAACTAAAAACTCTAAACAAAATTGTATATATTCCAAAAGTCGTCTCACCATTCCCACGTATTTCTAACCCGAATTTTTAAGGGAAAACATCCAGTTAAACGAACGTTTTCAATCCCAAATGTATTATTATTTTATTTTTAAGGTCCGTTGTTCAGAACTGAATAATCTTATTGGAGATGTTTTAGAACAAAGTTGATTTTTTCTTCCTCCTTTTTAATTTTTAGAAAAATTCGATATGGCTTGACAATCCTGGATAAAGGAAGCCTGTAAGATAGGATAGGATTATAGGAGGCTACAAGCCTGTAGAAAAAGGAATAGGAGTTAAAAATTTTTAATTAAAATTCATAAACTGACAGATAAGTGTAACATTTTTAGTAGCATAACAAGTATGTAGGCTACATAACTGAAACAGGTTCCTGTGATGTACCTGATATCATGTATCGCTGTATACATAAAGATCGCTTTATGGTAAATGTTTGCCCTCTTTCAACAACCAAGCGAGGAAAAATGTTTTGGCTCAACTGTAGCAATGGCGTCCAATTCGTGTCAGTCAGAGAACTTGGTAAAACGCAACCATTGTATTCTTAAATTGTATAGAAATAAAGTTGAAGACTCCAAATGACAAATGGAACGAATTTTATTCATGTACACATTTGGAATAGACGCTTAAAAATGGTATTCGGACCTTAATCCTGGGTTAGCAATGAAACTATCCAATGGACCTACAGTAGACAAGTTTGGCTGTTAAACAGTTTAATTTTTTTATTCTTAAAATAATTTTATTTGATACCAAATTCGAACTGACCTGCTAAGTTCTCTCATTTCTAGTGTTGATTTAATTCTTCTTTTTGTATGTGTTGTATTTCACTTAAACAAGAAGGACCTTTTGAACATGGTGAAGTCGACAACTGACAATTTATAATTCACCATGTCACCGAAATTGACATTTTATTTTAGTGATTACTAAACTAGAAGTTACTTATGTACGACAAATACAGAAAAATTTTATAGATTATGCTTTTCTCTTTTCTTTTTAGTACGTTGCAAAGGACCTTTTTATAATCTGCATTTATTTCTGAAATCGTTAGAAAATATATTGAAGCAGAAGCCATTTTATCAGTTTATTCTTGTTATGACAGTTATTGGGTTAATGTTATAACTAAAGTAGGCTAACTATGGGACACATTACTTTAGTTTTTAATTAGTCAATCAATACAATCTCATATAGTATCAAAGACCTTTGGCAGATCAGGGAAAGTAAGAGGGAGAAGTTTTAAGTTGGAGGTCCCTTTGAAAGGGGACTGGGTCTAAAGCCCCAATTTTATTTTTTAAAAGGGTTGGGAGTAGGTTGAAACCTAAATCAGCTATACGCGTGTTTATAAGTTACAGAAAATGTCATAATGGTGCTATAAAACATGAACTGGAAATGCAAACCCACATTTAGGGTGAACAATGATTTTTAGAAAACCAGTATGTGAAACGTTTGATTTGTGGGTTTAACAACATTTTTTAATTTCCTAAGGCGATTTCTTGAAAAGGTATCCGATAAATCTGCGTTTTGCCCCACACTTCCATAAGAAAAATAAAATTAACGATTTTGTATGACTGCATAAAAAATGATAGGCCAGCATGGTCTTTTTTTCATAATAGGATACTCGTTTGGAACAAGTATTTTTGTTTTTGTAGCCTTCTTTGCTTTGTCAAATTCTCTTTAAAATATTCGAGGTATTTTTTCCATATTTTTTCTCTGTTTTATTTGCAATTTATTTTCTAGAAAATTGTGGTTTTCTAGTCAGGCAAGCAAAAATTCTTGGCGTCGGAAGTAACCGAACTTGATTCTTCCGAAACACTGACATTCTATATTCGAGTTATCACTTCTAAATAATTGATACATTGTTTTCAGCTCTGGTAAAGATGTCAATTTCAATAAGTAATCAGTTTATTGAAATTAGATTATAGTTTTGGGATCATTGAGGGTCTCAAAATACAGACATCTGGCAAGGTGGCGAAAGGCTTGACGGTTTGCAACAGGTTTACTGGGCTATCCAAGCCGCCGGTAGCACGCGAGGAAGTCCACCGCCCCGCCTGCCCCTAATGCAACCTACCACGAACGGACATAGGATGCTAATGGCAGCATTTTTGAGCAACGGCGTCTGAATAGCGGTGTGATGTAACCCTAATGTCCATCCAATTTCTAGCACATTAGCAGCCGAGATGATGATAAATGGTCATTAATGCGCCATTGATTTCTCTACTTTCTTGGAACGTTGAAACGTGGAGACATCGTGTCATGCGAGGTCCAAGTTGTAATCGACAGGAGACAATGTTTCAAAACCAATGTAATAATGCAGTCAAATAAGAATAATTCATACAATTAATCCGAAAATGTCAAAGACCTTTCTTTGTCTAATACATATGTTTACCAGCACTAGGTGGCAGCTGAATTATTCATTTGAAAAATAAATGCTTAATTGTGTGCTTTAGTTCGAGTTCTTTCAATTTTATCACAGATTTTTAATTGGACAATAAACGTACAGTGTATATCCTAGAAAAATACAAATCGCATTTTTCGAGATTTGCATTTTGGTTCTACGATTGATTTAAATTGAAAAAACATACCATATATTTTTAGTAATGTTGTTAAAGATTTGTGAAAATAAAAGAAATTGTCGTAAAATACGAATGGTTAGTCTTCTTCGGCTGGACCTGGTACAATATAAAACTACGCATTTTAAAAATATGACACACTTTGCAACCCAGTTTATATGACGAAGGTCTCGGATATCGATTTCTAACTACCGGATGGAACTAAACTCCAGGCTTGCCCACACAATCAATAGGTTTTTACAGATTTATCACAGATTTATAGAGTAGAACCAGTCACCATCAGAGCATCCATCCCAAACCCTGCCAAACCAATGACGCCATTCCCTGACGAAGGAGCTGTAAAAAAGACCATTCCTAATTCAGATCAGTTCAGAGAGACATTTCAAAGGACAAGGGTGAATTTTACCAAATGAACTTTGTCAGTTGTTTTAATTTTTCATTTTTATAATTAGATTTTGACTGCAAAAATCTGCTTAGCATTGCCGGAATAAGTGGCTTGACAGTTGGAAACCTTAGATATTAACTTCTAAGTGGGCTGCAGCAGTACTGATCACCAATCTATTTTACAGATGCGCACATGTTCAAGGAAAAAAGTAAGGCAAACAGTCGGGAAATAATAACAACTAAGAAAGAAATGTACCATCTCGCTATTCATTTTTTTAGGAAAACAGGATGCTTTTGTTTTTTATTTTCTTTTTCCGGTGTTGACTTTTGTTTCATTATTATGGGCAATTTTTGGATAATTTCTGTGCTACCGTCGCCATGCACAGCCTTATTACGAAAAGTTAGTAGCAAGCATTTGTCGTTGTGCTAAAGAGATGAAAGATAGCGCTGTGCTGTTGTTTTTCTTGTTCCACCACATTTGCGACACCTGCAGTGATTTTAACAGACTTTACACATGTTCCACGTTAGAAATTCATGATACTATGTATAATACATCAGAGGCCTTTTTCCTTTGATTTTTAGCCAGCGAAAAGTCAAGGGGATTTAGCTTTGACAAGAGAAGCAGCGGAGGAGAAAATGTTTGCAGGTCCTATGTGAGTCACGAACGCCGAGGTATGGCAGAGAAGAAATAAAACGCGGTGGCGTTGTGATCTTTTCAGCAGAACAGTTTGTCAGGGCAATTGGTCAAATACCCGCAAGACAATTTCACAGACGAACAGTGAGGCCGTCAAGTGTGAATTTTTAACTTCAAATTAACTTTCAAATCACCATTCGGTAGTCAATGAAAGAGTATAAACATTTGCTATGAACTCTGCTTTTCACAGACGTTCTGGAGGCCACTTTAATTAATTATTACAAGCCGTCAAGAACACACATATGAACAACACCAGCAAACTGATGTGTCATCCCGATTACATGTGCATCAGCAGATATGAAGTAGTAGATATGGATAATTAATTATTTGCTTTTTACTGTAAGGATTTGGCTTTACTGCACAAATACAGATTACCATTAAAGTCTATTTATTGCTCTAATATGCTGTTAATTCTGATGTCAAATTTGTGTGCGCAGAATTGTAGAGATTCTTGAAATTTTATTTTTTATGTCATGGATTTTGTGTCCTTATAACAACAACAACAAAGAGAAAAACGAAATTCCAAATCATATAGTTTATAAATTTTTCTTCAATATATAAATAGAAAATATGAAAATTATTTTCATGCGAACATCATGAAACCAATTATTATAAGGAAAAATCAAATTACATTATTTCATAAATATTTTGAATGTTAGTCGTACAAGAGAATTCAACGGTTATGATTTTTGCATAGGATTTCGTTATCTACAATAGCATAATCTTCACTCGAATGCGGGAGAAACTTTAATATTTCAGCTGATTCTACTTGTATTTTAGCATGCGGAAACGACAGCTTTACACGACTCTGTTCTCTATGCAGAATATATTATAAGCATCACTTTTGTAACACGTTTTGAACATTACGCTTCTGCGTGTTTCCTATGTGTCGAACAGAATATAGATATGTTTTTTGTCAGATTAATTAACCATCACGTTATCATTTATATTGATACAGCGAAAACGCGCCAAATAATCATGAAATAATTCCTATACGCACGTTTCTTCAAAATTAACTCTGAGGAGGTCTTCATTAGGGCATTCGTGTTTATATTTTGTTGCCAAGTTTAGTATTTTGAAAAGTAAACCACTATTTTCGGTCATGTCAGGGAATGATATATTATCTTTTCAAAGAGATAAGAATGATTTATTGTTTTTTAGAAACCCGCACTCGGATTAGATTTGGGTTCAAATATTCGAACATCACAATCCTGACCTGCTGATAAAATCTGAATCGCTGTTTTTCACATTTTTATATTAAGATTATATGCGACTTAAATATTTTCGAGAGAGTTGCGTTTTTTCCATAAATTCGTGATATTAATAAAATATTTTGAGCCAATATATACCACATCTTTTCAATAAGATACTCATAACTAAAATTCATGATAAATAAACTATTCCTCATCCTCAAAAACATACCTTATATCTTGATTAAAAACAAATAAGCCAAATTGTTCTATAGTTGATTTAATTTATTTTGTAATTTTTTGTTGAATTTTTTAAACATTATTAACACTTGGAGTCACAGGTGGACTTGTCGGTATTACTATCCACTACTGATTGTATAGACCTAGTAAGAGCTATTTTTACAACACTGACTGTCATGGACACGAATTACAAACAAGAGGAAGAAGATGGTGAGATCTATACAAGGTGCATGGGTTAGAAAACCATCATAGAAAAGAAACAGAACGTGTTTCTTCGATCACTTTCTATATAAGTTATCTCGAATTGATACCTTTAATGAAGCAAAAAAAGCTACTGACCTGCCTAAACTTATTAGTTGAGAGAATGGTTAACATACACGTTAGATTCTATACCATTTAAACGATATGTAACACAGGTACATTGTACTGCCAGGGAATAACCACATCACAACAATGTCAACCAAAAAATATAACACGATTTAACAACTAATGTCTACAACAAAAATCGTCAGCAAATTCATTAGGTGACTTAGATCTTCTGGACATATTGCAGAAATAGTTTAGACATTCAATCTATTCTAGGAAAAGATCACTTACAAAGTCGAATTGCATATGAAAGTAAAAGCCGTTTGCAGTTGTCTTGGAATAGCACCTTCAAAATATAATAATTGAAAAATAAATCACACATTTGATAATTATATTTCATCTTAAAATTGTGCTCTTGCTTCCCTAAGAGGAAGAAAGGAATAACGTGCGAGGGTTGCTGCTATCCCCCATATTACTCCAAGGGAAAATATATCGTACACACACACATTACTGCCATTCATTCTTAAATTAACGAAGAAACTATAAAAAATTATTTTTGACAGATAAATTCTCCCCATTCTCTCACCAGTCTTTTAGATGACAGTAGGGGCTACTTGCTGATATCTACTACAACCCTCTTACCTGCACAAAAACATTTTGTGCCTCTGACAAAAAATTCCAATATTAATGAAAACGTGGTTTCCGGGACCTCTGACTTAAAAACATCACAGCGCTGAACGGGAGCGCCTCGTGCTATTTGAAAGTGAAGACGGTTTTGTGTTTCAAAATCGTAGCGTTATGAATGCAATGATAACTACTTTCATACTTCTGCAATATCTGGAAGGTCTAACGTGACAGTGATGCCCGTCTGACAGCCAGGATAAAGAAAATGTCTACCTCCGTGCGCTCTCCAAATGAGGCCTTAGAACTGATGACTATATCACGGAGAAATGAGATTCTACTATTGAAATGCTGCACAGTCCAGCCTGCCGAATGAGCACGGCTGAACAGGAAAATTCACGTCGTATCACATTAAAGTAGGTATATTGTAAGCCACTGTCTCGCGGAGGTCTGACATATGCTTTAAGAATGTGCGTGTAATTGGCATTGGTTGGGTCCCCATCTTTTACCTTGGAAAACCCACTGAACCATCGACAGTCCAATCGGAACACAGACTGTTGAAAGAAAACAAACCAACAACAGAGATTCCTTTTTTCCAATAAGTCCTTTTCAATTAATGAGTGTATTAAATAAAAAACATTGGCAAGAGTTTCTTTCATTCACTGAATGTCCTTTCACCTAAGATTCCGGAGATTTCCTCCAGTTCCTTTGCTTCTAGCGATCATTTCCCCCCAGAATCTACATCCCTCTGTCCCAACTCTGCAGGGTGTGAAGGGGATGACAATGCGTTGGGTGTGACGCTAAGCGACATAACGGTGGTATCACCATGCTTCCCCCATCTCTGCCGGGTGTTGCATCCCAGCACCGAATCCGTTTGGCGCTAGTCCCCTGGGTGGACCCCCGGGACCGAAATCTGGATGCGTCATCATGGGCTCTGGACTGGAATTCGGGTTCATCATGTCTCCTGGCTGCATGTAGTGACCTTCTTGTCCCATTCCACCTGCAACAGTAATAGTAGTAAAACATCACTTTAATAATACAGAAAATGTCAAATAATGAAAAACGTTTACAGACTACTTTTGAAAATAAAGCGGTTTAATTTGTTTTGTATGTTCACTGATCCAATCAAGAGCATATCACTGGTTATATGTCTTATTTCATATGTTATTTTTAGCCTTTTATTCTACCTATTTCGAAACATTCACAATGCCAGAATTTTTAAGTCAAATTTGACCCCCCCCCCCCCAACAATATTCGAAAGACCAAAAGTCAACCAGGTGCGGGTCTAAACAAAGTTAGCCGATGTTTGATAGATCGGCAGACTTGGCGAGCGCTAAGATGGGAATGTAGATTTCAAGTTGGTTGCAAACTAACACCTTCTCAAGTATTAATTGAATGTGGCTTGTTTTATGATAGTGGAAGGCGGGAGAGGGGAGAGGTAGAAGCAAGGTCTGGGGTTTGTGTTTGTGGAACCTCCAGTTATGCACAGCGAGCTTTGAAGTGCTGTGCTTAATTCTATCTTGAGCCGAGATCAGAAGGCGCAAGGGCTGGGCGACTCGCATGTCGCGGCCTCAGCTCCTTGGCTCAGCTGGCAGGGGTAGCGCATTCTTGCTCAGCAGAAAATGGCGCTGTGATTGGCACAGACAGTTGTAGCCACCGGGATGGCTTATCGACACCCGTGACCCGTCACCCCGAGCTAAGTAAATAGTTACTTTTTGCTTTGTTTTTTATCACTTGACGCGCATAGGATCTTCAGTATGTAATCAGTAGCAATACCAAGTAAGCTAAATTTGGAACGTAAGTTTTTGCCCTGCAAGATCAATGCATTTCTTTCAGCAACACGGCTTTTTGTAACATTTAAACATTTCCTAAAAGCCGAAACATTTTTTCAAAATCAATAATATATAAAGGGTCCAGGCTTCACTGTCAGATACGCTTGTTCGGGGAATGGAGTTGCACGCGGCAGATCCCCTCCCACCGGCCGCAAACCGGAGCCTATTGATCAAACGCTACCTAATTGACTGCAGCGTGTTTTAATTTTCAATACCACTGATCACAGCTTAGGCTCGAGCTCAGATATTTCTCTGCCCTTTTCCGTAATTTCGTGATGTATCTAAAATATTACCCAAAAAGACATCGTGCATCCAGGTAACGTTTGAACCTGAGACACGGAGAAACCTCACGAGGAGGTCGTCACGGACAAGAGAACCCTACCTTCTAACAACTAGTGACGTCTTATGTGGCTAAATTCGCGATCATTTTACACACACACACACACACACACACACACACACACATTTATAACTGTTTATGAAGAGAAATTTGTGATAAATAAAGACATATTTCAAACTGGCGCTTTACATATTATTTGATCATTATATATATGATATTTATTATTGCTATTTATATCATATCTCTTTGACAGAAAACAAAATTCTTTATCTAGACGATGTCCAATAATCCATGCGTATAGATAAGTAAAAGGAACACCACAATCCAAATGAAATGATAAATCCCCCCCCCCCCAAAAAAAAAAAAAAAAAAAAAAAAAAAAAAGAGAGAGAGAGAGAGAGAGAGAGAGAGAGAGAGGATGAATCGATTCGCTATAAATAAGTTCGTTTTCTTACCATGCATTTGTTCCATGTTTCCTCCAGGTGGCATAAAATTCATGCTTCCCGGCTCAGCTTGGCCCTGTTGTCCAGGGAAGAATTCATTGTAATTATACCCTGGGTAAAAACCTTCGTCTGAAATACAAATAGAAAAAAACTATAAATACCTTTATAGTTATCAACTGTAAAAATCAGTTGAATACATGAATGAAAATAGAAATTTATGAAAATAGATATAAATGTGGAAAGAAAAAATAAAATAACATTGGAGTCCTCTAACTATATTTGCATGTTTTAATACCGTCTGGAAGCAGTGGCTAGAAGCGTAATTGGACCTCATTTGTTCTGAGCAATTTCATTTTATCAATAATGATTTCAAATTGTCACTCATCTGGTTACCAGGGTGATGTTATTGGGCCTTAATTTGAAATTAATCATGGTATAATTGCATAATTTGGACGTGTAAATGAAATAATGATGTGTTCAGCGTGCGCCGTCTGTTGTTTGATTACAGACTTGGCCGTGCTTCCTGTGGTGTTGTTGAGTCTGGCCACGTTGCACAGACACTGGTTTTGAGGGGAAAAAACACGCCCCGAGTCGTAAAGGCATATGTTATCTTAACTAGTTGAAATGCTTTTCTTTAAAATTTCAAAATGCTGCAGGGAAGGTACATTTTGGTAAATCAAAGTTTAATGTGAATATGTCTTGATTATTTGTGTAAGGACGCAGAAAAAAACGCGTCAAATCAAAGTGCTTTTGGATTCGATATATTATCCTTCACACGAAAGAAAAAATGGCTGCCTTGTAAAAATCAGAAGTAAAGTAACAAATTTGCGACGGATACCACTTCTCAGGCATGCGCTTCTGACGCAAGATGGACATTTCGTAGTAGATTAACTAAGAGCATCTTCCGTTTGCGGAATATTTGAAGTGAGTAATGTGATCTGGCTGTGAGTCGTGGCTGTATGCAGGGAAGGTAAGCTATGCTTGGCGTGCACCTGTCCCACCTGGAGGGGGGTTCACCTAGCGCCATGGGCACACCAATCGCGAAAGTGGAGGAAGTGGGTTTATAAAATAAAAAAGATAAAAACTACACGCGCATAGCCCCAATCATAGATAAGTAGAAAGACGGAACATGGACTGCATGAAGCACTGCAATGTAATCATCAAATTGGTGAATTTTGCATAACGAGATTTTTTGAAATTTTCAAGCGTGCCAACACGCCCACCCTCACAAACAGAGAAACAAACAAATAAACATGAATAGTGCCGCATAAAAAAATGTCGACCAAAAATATCAATTTTTGGAATGGCGCCGGTATGCTTCATTTGGAAGTTCGTGACTGCAACAAAAAGAAGCTACGGTATGCCACTGCAACCTGACGCAACGGCTACAACTTGAAACTACATACGCGACCGAGTCCTGGTAGCGAATACACGAACCAGTTGACTTCAAAGAGAACTTTTACACTCAATTTCGTAACGTTGAGAAACCCTTTGCAGTGCCTTTGTCTCCCATTATTTTGATTGTTCCAGTATAGTGTTATATAATTCCACGCAAACGGATTGTATGTGCTCTTCTGTTCTATATCGGGAGTAAGAACCGAGGCGTTGTGAACGATTTTTGCAAAAGAGGACTTTTCAGCGTCCATAATTTAAGGATAAATGAAACGAGTCGTGTGTTTGGTAAATATGTGATTAAGCATAAAAAATTCAGCATAGTGAGTGCTGCAAGTTAATACACCAAAGAAGCAGATTGGCAACAGACCTCAAACAATAACTGAAAAAATTGCATTCAAAAGCACATGGTTTTTAAAATAAAATTCAACCAAGCCCAATTTCCGAACAAACAATGGCCCTCATCCCAGGCAATCGGAATTAAAAAGACTAAATAGAAAACACGAGACCTGTCCCGTAGTAAAGAGTTTAGATTAAGGCATCTGTTGAGCAGTTTGAACGAGCTCAATAGTCTACCCGCATGGTAACTCACCCGCATACGGTGCCAAACTTATTGAGGCGGAACAAGGTTCCATGAATTCAATTTTCTTACAGAATAATTGAAACAAGATACAGCTGTTCTTGCAAATAGGTGAAGAATTTTTAAATATGATGGTTAATTGTTAATTATGTTACATTATTAGGAATTTAAATGTACGACCGGCTTGCTGTCGAATGTTTGCTGGTAGCTTTGTTTGATTTCTAAGAGTGAAGGCGTCTGAGGCTATGAGGAAGTATGGTAAATATATCTTATTACCGCCAGTATGGCCCACATTTCATGGGAAAGGCAACAACCCTTCAATGATCATGAGTCTTACCTCTTATTTTTGGATAAGACGTCTAAATTTAGCTTGAATTGGTTCAGTTATGAATTTATGCACCAAAATTTCGCTCGTCTATGTCGATTTGAAAAAAGAGAGAAATGTACTCACCAGTGAAATACCCGAACCCTGGATTTCCCATCATTTCCGGACTGTCGTCTAGTTCCGGGGACATCCCCGACCTGAGCGCGCGCATCCTTCTCGGACTCCGGAAGAAATGTCGTCTGGCCCCAAGTGCACTAAGTTGTTTCATGCGGCGCTCTTTAGAACGACGGTTCTGAAACCATACCTGGAAGAAAACATTTTTCATCAGAATTATCTTTACTTCAAAATTCGTTCAAAGCTACACGACAAAAGATTCTACTTGAAAGGCTTGCAAAGAAGACATAACATTGCTATGTCCTAGACGTTGTTTTTATTTATTTCGCCACTCGTTAGCATCGTCTCGAGAGACTTTGTCTCATTTGTAGGATAAACAATAATATGTTGGTTCAATAAACCAAAGAATAAACAGGATGTGTATTTTTTTTTCAAATTTTGTTTCCCCCCATGTTTATCGGTAGTCCTCCGTAACCGCGCCTATTAGAATACAACAATGCTGTACTTAAAGTCATTCAGAAGAAATTGCTTTCGATTTGTCTTATTATGAAGTCGATTATTTTCTGCACGAATTAGAAAATCATATCTCTTTATTTACGTTGCAAGAGTTCATTAAGCTCGCACTTTATTTGACGAAGTTCATTAAAATGCAATTAATTAGTTTTTATTAAATTTCCCGTCCCTCTTCAAATGCGCTAATCGAAGAAGCGCGTGTATTTTCTTTGAGGTAGAATGCATCGTTCCGACAGCTATTAGTTTTCGATAACATCAATGATAGGTTGAGGTTGGCTCTTCTGGTCCCCCCATCAATTATGTATCAACACTTGTAACAAAATCTGTAAATATATTTACCGATTGGAGATGCCGATGAAAAATCGAAGGCGCACTCACCCAGGCGAAAAAATACTTCAAATGAAAATTTGATGACGATTAATTGCTAGATTCAGCGCTATTCTCACAATGTTTTGCCGTGGTTGACCTTTGCGTATTTTAGCGTCCTCAGTGGTATTCTTAATGTGTGATTAACTTCATGTTTCCACTTAAATGCTGCGGTAGAAAAACACGGTCGATTCACCTTGCAAGAGAAAAAGCTTTGATTACACACCTACAAACACGCAATTTATTTGGGATCAGGGCTTTACTGGTTAGGGTATACATCATAACATATCATATTGGTTACAATATCGCTGCATATATAATACTGTTGTCCCCAAGTGGTAGCGTTCCTGCATTAGCTCGCCGCACCTGCACAGCTGTATTTAGAGGGCTCCGCATCAAGGTTCTCTAGTTTCGCGCCCCACGGCATTGGGCCGACGAGGCTTCTTGCTACTTTCATGTCTCTTCGCTGCGATTACATCTTACAATAATAGCCCCAGCCCTGAAGGCACACACGTCTTCTGCAAGATCAATGTGCTAGCAAAACTTCTCACTTCTCTTTACTTTTATTTCTGTTTGCGTCCCACCACAGTTGGTAACACTTATGTTCTCTTGCCAAAACCTGAACTTCAGCCATGCAAACTTTTTTCACTTCAATTGATCTTGTTTCTCGTTTCTATAGCAACAAAAGAAATCGATACAGAAAAATCTTGCTCCGATTTAAAAAAATATTTTCCGTAAACAACATATAATCAGCATTAAAAATAATCTATTTTTAAGTGCTTTATAATGCATGCTACAATGCATTTACACAATTGCGATAAAAATGTTTAGGGCAAATTAAATACTGAACGCGGTTTGCATGCATAACATTCCGTAAAGGACAATAAAACCCCTCCAAGAGCATTTGACTTTTCGTCTAAGTCGATGTTATGGGCCAACGATCTTTCATTTTATCATTTCAAAATATCAAACTTGAGATTGAAAAATAGCAGTTCATATATCGCGAAAGGTGTATCTAATTTTACCAAAAAAATTTAACGGGAGGATAAAAAAAATCTAGAACAATCTTTTTGACAGGTGGCTGGTCGGCCAATATCGCGTGTCTACATTAACTTCTATGCTAGTAAAGCAATGTGAAAAAAACGATCAAGTGCTTTAACAAAAGACACGCCATATAATGAACGAAAATGTTAACTAGGCTTCTACCTTCGGGGATTTAAGCTGGGAGAAAAGACGGTTGAACGATCGAGGTCAAGAACCGAACGACTTCCGACAAACGTGAAATACCGAAAAACACACCGGACACGGGGAATCCAACAGCACGGACATGCCATTGTCAAAATATCCTGCAAGTTACCATGGCAACAGAATAAACGATGCCTGATATGCTGCTCGTCAAGTCAGATAAAATACTGTGTCTAATGTATTGTATTTCTATTTCATAAAATATGGACGGCGAACGTGTAGTTCGATACTTATATGACAATGGCAAAGTTTTTGGAAGAGCTTGGGTAAACCGAAGTATTGATGAATGTGACCCTGGAGGTTCGTGCTTCGTCTCTCCAGAGAGAAGTAAGATTGGCGTTTTTTGATCTCGGCGTATCTGACGGCTCCCTCGACACACATTAATCACTGCACTGCCTTCTGCGCGAGAGATGCAGACGATGAGCAAGAACCCCGCAGACGACCGGGGATCAAAATTGGCATTGCTGTCGGTTTTTATTGGTCATATAAATTTCGGAAGTGAAATTAAAGTCTTCATACGTACAATGAATAAAAATAAATAAAATAGAAAATGGAATAAATGTCATTGTAGATTATTTAAAGTTACATCTAATCCAAGATTTTTCCCCAACAGCTATTGTTTCATATTTTCATATTGCTTGGTTTTTCATTTCTTATTTCTAGTATTGTTATTAAAAATCTATTCGCTTTCGTACTTTCATCCTAGGTTGACAATATAACCATAACAAATGCTAATAGAGTCACTGATTTCGCCAAAACTAACAAACAGTCCAACCAAGCAAGTGATTTTTCCCAAATTCTCCAGATGATATTGTGGAATATAAATTATGTTATTTTTCCCCTGGCACTAACGTCGTGCTCAACCTTATGTGAATACGTTGGCTTATTTACACGGGGGCTAGAATTCGGATCAGGCCATGTCTCGAAATGTTACAGTATCCATCTAATCCCTCCAATATTTGGGATTGATTTTTGGTGAGGGGTCAATAGTGTCACATATCGGGAGTAAAGGCCGACAGCTTGGCGCCGTCATCTCCCTGTCGTTGCCTCATAATACGTGGCCGAAAGTTGGCATTGTTTATTTGTTGATTCGGTTAAGTATAGTGAGCCGAAAAATGAAGGTGTGAATGTTTAGCAAAAAATCTGTGACACGTGAAAAGAGTTCTAAACTATTAAAAAATTCAATAAAAAGAGCTCCTTTCTTGGTGCCACAATCTGGTGAGGGCCCGAGGTCAGAGAGAGAGAGAGAGGGAGAGAGAGAGGGAAAGAGAAAGAAAGTTCCTTAACGCATTTATATTTTGAAGCAGAAGCAGTTATTATCTTTTACAGTCTAGACAATGCTTTACTATCAGAAAATCACGTTTATCACTAAAAGAAAACCTAGGACCTTTTGTTATATAGCCGTCCGTGGTACTTTATGGATATCCCATTAGTTATACATTAAGGTCCTTTCGAACTCAACGCTTTCCCAAAAGTCACAAGTATCGATAAATAATACCCTCTGCCAATGCAATTTAACCAGTGTGATATCAAAACTTGAGAGTAACCATCTTCCGCTACTAGGTGTAACATTGTGCAGACTTCCAGCGAAAATGGCTTTTTAAACGCTCTGATGTGCGACCATTTCATCGCCCTGCTCCATAAACATCAGGATGATGATTGATAGTCCGCCGTGCCAGTCACGCCGTTAAATACTACTCCGTTTGCAGGAAGAAATATTGAAATCCTACAGATTTATTATTTTCATCGAATTACAATAGACATTTCAAGATACACGACCGTTTAGACGGCGATTTTTAGATATTTAAATAGTGTTTTATATTTCTTAAAATCCTGACAAACCGCAGACAACGTGGATGTCAAATTTCCCAATGGCTGTAAAAATATAGCAGCAGCAGTTGTAAACAGTTTAGGAAATTAGAAACGTTGATGGCCAATCTTGGCGCAAACTGTCAGTTTAAAAAGTGATCTTGCTGCAATATATTGAATTCTTGTTAGGAACTTAAGTATGCACCTGGGAGATATGCCACGTCAGTTGACATCTGTCTGCTCGCGCGCGTTCGTTCAATCAGACCAAATACAACATAATTGGGTTCCAAAAACGCCAGTATTAAACCCCACCCTCATGTTCTTAAAATCTTTTTTATATTATTATTATTTTCGAAAAAAGTGAAATAATTTTACTTTTCACCCACATAATCTCTATCAGCTTACGACGGGTTTAATTCACGCTCGCGGGCTAAGTAGAATATCTGTTATTCCAACATCGCTTACAAATTCGGAGATGATTATAATTTGCTAATAAGCCTATTTTCCCCGCTGAGTGTGTAATAGTATTACCGGCCTTGATCATCGATGGCGGTACGGGAACTATTATCAGTGTCTGCCGTTAAGAGTACGATGACTTACAATGACTCCATGTGCCACACATTTGCGGACAAAATTATGATTCATATATAACTGATCGAGTTCATGTTATAATATGAGAGCAGAAAAAAAATGCAAATTTATCTCAGAAATGCTTTTTTATTTATTTTTTCGTAAACAATTTATTCGGATACTGTGTGTTGAGTTGAACTGTTGCTATAGCAAAGAGACGAGCTGATTTCATCATATCCAGTATGGAAATAAAGATATTAGATCTGTATATTCCCAAGTAGATCACAAAACGAATATGTCTATCAACTGTATAAGTAAGTCACAAAAACCTTTCCTAAATAAAAAAAGTTTAATCAGTACCATTTTTCGTGCAACAATTCAACCCCTAATAACCGTTCTTTAGATGGTGACACTAATATAGTTCATATAAAAACTGTTCATGTTAATTTCAAGTCTTTTAAATCACAGCCTATAAGTTCCTGTTACATTTTTACATTTTATGATTTGAAAAAAATATCCATATTCATATTCTGTGCAGTGTGTATAGCTATAAGAGTTTCCAATGACAATTTTTTCAAATTCACGGGGATCGGTTATCGGTTTATTTGCCGGGCTGGTGAAGACGACGTTCTGATACAACGCCAAAAAAACTGTCTGATCGTTTTATATTGATTTGATTTTTAAAAGGATTAAAAAATTAAATGTCAGTGTTCGATGGCGCTAGGTTTGGAGTTTGTCCTACTTGTTAGGAGGCAGTGTTGTTTTACATTGGGCCCCCAAGCCGCCGGCACGCTTGGTAGCTCTCGAAACAACATTACTAGCTACTTTTGTGAGAAGCATTGTGATTAATAGTTTTCATGTGTTTATTTTTTGAGGCAAAGTCGTCTGAATTTTGTAACAGTTTTTATTCGTGGATTTGAATCACTTCGGTTGATTAGAGCCCGCCGGAGCTAGGGGCAATGTTGTGGGGACTTATGAGACAACGCCATTTTCTGCTACATTTAGTCTGGAGGCACATTTACGAGCCATTCTGTAAAAATTGTTATTAATGCAAATAGAAGATGAAAAGAAATCCCCTAGTTTGTGCGGTGTCTTTTGTGTCCACTGTGAATGTAAAGGTGAGCACGACTTGGCCACGGGTTATACGTTATGCTATAAATGTTTTTGCAAAGCTTTGTGTCCTACCGCTAGTTTTGAGTTCAGAATAATCAAATAACAGGAGCCCGAACACCCGATTGGCTTTCTGGCTTTTGAAAGGTGTTGGGAATAAAGAACTGTGTTTTGGTTACACTTTCAAGCATTACGTGAACGGAGTGAATGCGGCGTGCCTGATGCGGCGCCGAAACGCCGGGATTTAGAGAATAGAATGTTTTTAACAAAAACACTTGCTTTTTCACAAGAGGGCAACTTTCTTTTGCATGGCGGCGGTCCCAAAGCTTTTGTTCCTGCCCACAAATAAGCAGCTTTAACTCATGAGGCTGAATAAGAGGCTTAGAAGCATAAACAGCAATGGAGCGAAACACGGTAGCTAACATTGTGACAACGCGGCTTTTCAGATGTTGACTAGATTACCACAATAGAGGGCTAATAATCAACAATAACTATTGACCCAACGTTTACAAAGTTTCACCCATTTCGAAAGGGTTAAATCTGCTATCCCAGCCCACGTCGCCTTCCACTCAATGAAGGAATTTGATAAACAATGCCATTATGTTCCTCCTTACCCACAGACACTGGTTAGAGTAGGGAAGAAAGAGAGCTGACAAAATAGAGTCGACAACCTACCTGAATCACCCTCATGTTCAAGCCTGTCTCTTGTGCGAGCTGCTCTCGTATGTGCCGGGTAGGTTTCGGCGTTGCTGCAAATGCTGCTTTCAATGTCTCTAATTGTTTTGCTTTTATTGTTGTCCTTGGGCCCCTTCTTTTCGTCCCCGATGTATTCCCCTCGCTGCCACTGGTGACTTCTTTCCCATCCTTTTGCATACTGTCTTTCTTTTCAGGACTACTGCTATTACTATTTGTATGTACCATGTCCTCCGATGCGGAAATATTTGAGCCTAAGTTTGGTATATTATTATTGTTTTCTTTTCCTGACGTTGAATCACGACTGCAATTGTCCCCGTCTAAACTCTCTGTTGCGTCTCTGTCGGAGAGATTCCCGGGACTGGCTGCATCTAAGTCAAAATCGTTATCTTCGTAATCTGATCCTGAAAGACAAATTTCAACCATTTTCCTACAAATCAACATTCAACTATCAAGACATCAATTGTATATTCCAAGACATACACATTTTATGACGGACAATCTTACATTACTACATGATATCTAATTCAAATTTTAGATGTCGTAATATTTTCTACCAAAGACCAAATTTTAGTTGTCGTAATATTTTTACCAAAGAGTAAACGTAACTACATAATAACGGACTTATTGATATTGAAAATATTATTGCATTTGAAAATAAAAATATTTTATTTAGTCATATTTCATTTTGATATGATACCATTTTGATCAATTTAAAGATACCAGGTACTTTTAATTAATCAACTAGTAACTTTAAATTAATAAACTAGTATTAGCGGCAAAGGGATCTGTCTGGCGACCACAGCGCGGTAGTTTTTTCTCGCTGCATTATCCACCATCGTTACCTGATTACTTGATATAAATTATCGTTCATTCCTTTTATTTTGTAATCTCCAGTCTCCCATTGTTACTTCCATCATTTTAAGATTAGAGTCTATGTATTGAGTAAAAACTGCCCATGTTCAGGACATTAGAGTAAATACTAGCTTCCATAATAGCGCTACTCGAAGATGCGCCCAAGCAAACATAAAGCTAAAACATGTCATGCAGAAGTAGTTTCAAGGAAACATTATCAGAATAATACATCTCCAAAAGTGAGTTCGATGAAAAAAAGCATAATCGTAATCGAAGCCATTCATCTTGAAGAGGCCTAGGTCTATTACAATCCCTTCAATGACAAGCGGTGGGGCAGATTTTTTCACGCCGTTTTCAGCTGCAAATAGGTTTTACTAAATAATAATTTTTAAACAAAAAACTACTTAATAAATAAAGAATTAATAAATATAAATTACACAAAGAATCCTTTCAGTTTCATTCACATCTTTGCTTTTTTTTCAAAAAAATTTCTAGGCTCTGCCATTGTGAAAATGTCTAGAAAAAAGCAAGTGGCCGGGAGAAGGAGCGAAATGGCCCGAGGGTACCAGGGATCTCTGTGTTTTTAGAGCCCAGTGTCGCTGAGGTACGTGGCTCACCACTGAACAAACATCGGTGTCGTGTTTATGTGCCTTGATGTTATTGTTTACGCTTCGGGAGTGAAAGCATGGCTGCGCCTAAGTAACATTTATTTACCGCTTAGCTATCTTTAAGGAATTTTTGTTTTCATAAGCTTTTTGTTCTGGCCATCTTTTTGCGAGTGGTGCTGCTCTCAGGTTGAGTGTCGGGTCTATAGGGCCATTCTAGCATGTAACGACCGCCACAAAGGTAGGCTTTGATCAAAGCCTTTTATGGGGATTTTATTTTCATAGCCTTTGCTTATTCTTCTGTATTAATGCCCTGACCGAGAAAAATGTCGTAGGGGATTTTACTTTTGTCCCAGCGCTGCGGAGAAGAGTATGCAGCCAAGGCAGGTCGGAGCTACACATACCAATGGATAAAAAAACCCTTTGAATTAAGCTTGCCGCTACCATTAACGACCCTAGAGATGGGAAGATGATACACTAGTCCGACCGCTTCACCGACCTGTTAAACGCTTCATTTCGTCTAAAATGATCTGCTTTTCGGTAACTTAACGCCGACAGCTCTCGCAAAGTTTCCCTCAAAAACAAGGTATCATGATAGAGCAGCTCTCACCTGTACTTCTCTCGGGCACGTCGCTGTGCGCCCCGATATAGAACGGACTCTATATGATTCTACCCAACTGTGTGACGCTATAATGATTTTGGCAAATAAAACCTTTTTCCGCCAGTTATTTCTTAAAAGGGGATTAATTAAACACAATTTATCAGTCTACAATGAATGGGTTTTTAAGGAGTTCATTCATGTAGCTTGCGCGTTTTCTGCTTTACAGAATTTGATGTTCAACGATCCGATCGAAAAATAAATTGACGCTATTTATCTCCACTATAAAAATGGAGGCATGGTTGTTGACGTACTTAGTATCAGTGTGAATCACTTTAGAGCAATTTCTTCCTCATAAAATTGATATTCTGAATGAGATACGATCCAAGGGACAAGGATTTCATAAAGATCGCACGCTCTGTCGCCTGTGAAATTCTCTGCAGATAGAATGCATTTGAAAAATGGGGGCAAAGGTCACGTGTGATTGCTCAAATTCATTTCATATCGTACATGCATATCCGACAGCCGTCCGTAGTTCTGTTCGTATGAAGTGCTTAAATATGCTTCCAGCAAACCACCTGCTTGGTTTTCCGGATCGGAACAATCCAGCCTGAAACAATGCTATATTAAGGAGTCGAGTCTCCAAGCATCCTTCCGGAGCCCCGCCATCACGGGCAGACGCTCCGTGAGGTATTACAGACCAAGACACCAAGTAATGATTCTGAACGAAACGTTTTAGCTTTATTCTCTAAAGAAAAAATGTTTAATATTTTAAAATAATTGAAATAATGTTTGAAATCGAAAAATAATTTTTTGAAAGGATGGTTTCATCTTAAAAATTAGCTAGCCAAAATGCAACATCCCATTGGACCGTAAGTGTTTCTATCAACGTTGCTGCTCGCGACAGATGATCCCGCTTGATTAAACGGGGTTTAATTACAGTTTGTAATTGGTGCATTTATCGTATTAAACTGACAGCTAACACACAGACAAAAGACAAAGGATCGCGTCCAGTTGCCGGGAATTCCCTAACGGGCACCCCATGGGAAATACTCTCTGATTTACGATAAAAATTGCAGAAAAAAATTATTGTGCGACTCGCAGAATGAATCTTTGCTACAGACAGTATGTGGGGGATATGCGAAGAGCCAAAAAACGGCTTGCCAATAAGAAACTATTTTGTTTACAAATTGACACGAATAAAATAAAATTGTAATTGTAAAATTCCATTGAAAATTTTCATTTCCTGCAGAATCAAGTTCCGACACAAAAATAATGTGGAATGAGCAGAAATTATGTAAAAGAGGGATAATTTCCCGCATATATTGTCCCAATATCGAAAGTCGGTGAATTCATAGCAGATCGATTTCAAGTTGACTCGGTGAATCAATACGCACAGGCTTTGACTTACTGCGGTCGCCAGCTGCTGCAGTTCTTTCCTTAGGCCAGGAGACCCCATTAAAATGCAACTATTCCCTCACAGCTCATTCTCTCTATAGAATACACGCCCAATGAATGGTAGAGGTTTTCATAATAAGGGTGACTAGGCAATACAACCTACTATCTCCACTGAAAAGACGCCCGTTTATTCAGTTCCACTACACCCTTTTTTCTCGTCATAACTGCTATATGGTATCAAAATCGGATATTTTATTTCGCGTGAAGGATTTCAGCTACCTCGGTACAAGTATACTTATGTTTGCTCGCGGCATATTTTCCTGATCTGTCCCGTAAAATATGTCCAACGGAACCTGTCAATCTATGAGATCGATACAGTTCCCGTGGCTTCTAACCTAGATCTTTCCTTAACCATCGATCTTCAATGGGGACTCTGTGTGTAAGGCACAACATTTATAGTTTTAATGAAGTCATCATAAAGAATTTATACAATGAAAATAAGTGAAGCAGCCTAATGTATTAAATGAAGAAATCGATAAAATAGCCGATCTACCCCGAAGGAAAATCCTTTTTGCCAAAATAGTATGCTCTTTGACTTCAAATCAATGCCGGGCATTCGGAATTTCTTAACAGTTGACTTCTGAAATATTGATGAAGTGTATGTTTTATTCTACCTTCTTACAAATCAATCTAGACGCAAGCGCACAATGAGCCGCGGATATTCCTTGTATTTCAGCTTTGATTGCAGGAGAATATGAAGCTGAAATTCAGTTTATTTAATGGTAGAAATACAATAACCGATACTTGAACAATGCTGATCCGTCGTGAGCTTTCTAAGTGTGCTTGCTTTTGGCGACATTCGGTACACAGTAAACAGCGTCTTCTTTTGACAACCACCGCCAAATTGATAATATTCCCCACCCCTTTTTCCTTTTCCGATATTTTGACATATTATCTCTTTCTTTCTTTACTCTCTTTCTTTCTTTACTCTCTTTCCTTATTCTCTCTCTCTCTCTCTCTCTCTCTCTCTCCTTAAAGGGAGATATCCAATATTTTTAACGCCTTCCGTGCAATGAATACTGAAAATATCGCTTCCCTCAAGTGCTATGTTTGTAACCGACTCTCTCCGATTTGAGCTGAAACTGCTGGGAATTTATTTTTCTTCACCTACGAACATAAACAACTGCAGTTGCTGTATAAATTTACGCAATTCGCACAAATATACAACAGAAATATGTATGCCTATTCTGTCTTGCCCAATTTGCAATGACTAACCACATACCTAATTCCTCACAGCTCGTAAAATTCGTCCCTACTTTACGACTGAACGGTAGAACAGTAAATTGTCAGAGAGCCGGTCTACCTTGTCCGATAAAACAATGGGCGGCCATGATCAAAGGGTTTGTCTTCAGGTGTGTGTATTGTTCTTTTATTAAATTACCGGTAGATGGATAAACAACAGCACTGGTGGAAATCCATAACAGAATGGATGGGTACATACGAAAGACAATAACCAAGCCGCAATACTTTAAATAACGAACAAATCAATGAAATCCTAGTAAAGATAACGACTACTTGGGAAATTCGGTGCATTGTAGTAAATTGTACATTCCGAAGTCGCTTAAATACCGCCATTATAACAATGCACAGTTTGAAATATACATTAATGTGATTTGTAATGTGAGGAAAATCAAATGGGATTTGTAATGTGAGGCAAATCAAATGGGATTTGCTTTCGATGCCTATTTAAGTATTATTATACTAGACCTAGAAATTGTTGCTTCGAGCTTTTTTAATAGATATATATTTTAGATGCATTATCAAATATAACATAGTTTCAATATCTATCGAATATTTACCCACTTTACTTAATATTAAGCTTGGATAATTTTTGAATGAGTAAAATTTTTTAATTGAAAAAGAAAAAAAGAAATCTAGACCATCTGCCCAGCAGTCGCGTTCTCGTGCCTTGACTGGCGTCTCCAGAGACACAGGGTTGCACAGAGAGAGAGAGGCAGAAAGCGGCATTGATGTCGTCCTCAATACGAAGAACAAGAAATCGATCAGAACAAGAGAGTCGAGAATAACTCTCTGCGACAGAAATGAGAAAAAGGGAGACGGAAGAGACGACGAGAGAAAGGCACGGATTGAGTGAGGAAGGGGTTTGAATAGAGGAGCGTTGCTAGCAGAAGTGACTCAGTGCGAGCAGCAAATATATTTTTCTCAGCGCACTTTCCGCACTGGGAACACCGCCCGCACACGCCTCACTGAACCACAACATAATAATAAGAAAATCTACAGAGTTTTATCGTATTACAGGACATTTCCATGTCGAATCCTGAGCACACGTCGCCTTTCTATATTTCATTAATCCCTATTACCACGAAGGTCGCAATCGCTCGGTCGAACATGAGGAGGAATCAATGGAACAATATTCTGCTGCGCTAAGAAGCGCACTGAAATCATATTGGATATTTACAATTCAGTAGTGTTTGTTTTAGAATCAGTGTAACCGAGTTTACACTTCAATTAAGGTTCGTTTTCTTTCCACACTTCTTCCGACTGGGCAGTGAAGCTTCCCCTCAATGTCAACCGTGCTGTGTGCCTTCCCTGCTCACAACGGAAAAGAGGGTATTTATTTAAGTTCATGAGTAATGTAATAATTAATTGAGCATAATTAATCCCCACTTACCTTGGCATTTACTATTAATATAGTCCTCTTTGCAGATAAATTTATTTTCATCCAGCACATAAAGTTCTTCTCCCGTTGAGAGTTGTTTTCTGCAGACCATGCATGTAAAACACTTGAGGTGGAATACTTTTTCTCGCGCCCGCCTCACGAGATCATTGGGGGAAATTCCTTGACTACAACCAGCACACTTTGTTCCGAAACGTCTGCAAGAAAAAAAAATAATAGACATGATATTTTTTCTGGATTTTATTTTTCCTTTAATACCGAAATAATTAATATTATCAAGTAACATATAAAAAGAAAATAATTATGTGCATTAAAAAATAATGTACCTCGATTAGTGTAACTGTTTGTAACTGTTTGTTACAGGCCATTGAATGAGGGTTTAATGACGAACTTCTCTCAGAGAGCATGTCTGTCTCCATAGCAATTATAATTTTACATAATTCTCTGCAATGGCCGCGAGTTCCCACAGCGGAGTTTTGCTTCGGGATGGACTCAAATTGCTCGTCAGACATCTCCGTAAGACAGTGCGGATCAGTTTACGGCTCTAAATTTGGAAGAACAAACACGAAGTAACATTCTAGACCCCGAAACAGCAAGATTCGGTAAAACTTGTCGTAGCCAATTAACAACGAGTACTAATAGTCAGTAGCGTGATATCGCATGGTTATGTGTACAACAGACAACCGGCCTAGACGCCTATGTTTTTGTATTAGCGAAAGGCCACTGTGAACCGGGAAAAAATAACACTCGTGTTAAAAGGATGAGCCAGTACATCTATCTGTTTTGAAGGACAAAAAACGCATCTTTAGAAAAAATTCAGTAGATAAAATAACGTCTGTCGACAATTTATTTCATTTATTCTATTCACTTATTTTATTTATTATTTTTTTTTACAGCAAAATGTCATCACTTTTGTGCAAATATTCAACAGATGACTGTAGCTCTAGATCAAATCTGTACAATGGAGGTTTTCATTTTAGCCTATAAGTAATACAATTACACGTCTTAACGAAATTACAAAACTATTAGACACCGCACGATACTCCCAGAAGACCAAGCCTTTGCCGCGGTCTACTGTAAAAGAAATAATCGGGACAACATGAAAGAGAAAGCTGACATATTTTTGTGCGATGTGAGAGCTTTCTTCGCGCGTTTGATATGTTGTTGAAAAGATCAAAATTCACTTTTTCAACACAACATTCGACAGCTCTGTGATTTCGGGATCATGTTGTCTCGATAGGGCCCATTTCTCTGGTTTACAAACGGAACTAGCACTACTCAAATATTTTCTCATCACCCGATGATCTAGGAATGGGGAAATATTTTTAGCATGTTATTCATCTTTTAAATATTTTATCAACGCATGGCGAATGTAAAATATTTGATTTAGCCTTGTATGAAATTTTCATCAACAAAAAGAGCTCGTATTTAGTTCCTCTTGTTCAAGTATGTGTGATTTATACATATAAAAACAAGAGGCCAGATGATATTATTCACTAAGGTCGCTGTTGCAGACAAAAATCATCGTGATAGTGCAAACCTATGTAACTGTCGTTCGAAATCGGACGTGAGCGATCATACAAGTAGGAGAAAGCTTTTCACAATTTCTGCACAATTAGTGCTCTCTAATTAATCCCTTCCTGCGCCGTGAAAGATGATAGTCGACACACTAACGGACAGTAAAGTAGACAAACTTGAGAGTGAAAATCACGAAAACAACAATGAACCACCCACAAGTGGTGGCGTAAAATTGCATTTAATCTACCGTCACGCAGCTATTTCGATTTGATTCATATTATGTAAATAGACAAAAAATATTCACACGATTGACAAATTGGTTCATATATTTTCTATATGCTGTGTAATGGGTAATGCAGCGTAGTTCACTAGAACCCAAGCTGCTAGACCGGTTATCGCGTTAAGTCTGTCAATACAGTGTAATTTTAAAGTCAGGGGTACTTAGCTACTGTAAGCCCACTACTACATTCGGTGTGTATTTGATGCATTACTATATGACGTAATCTTGGATCTAGTCATGCGTTACAGTCAGACACCGACTAGAAAGTATAATCCCGTGTGGACCTTAATCATCACTTCGGTGTGTTAATATTATAGTCACTACCAGGCAAGACTACAAGAACTATGTATTATTCATATTAAAAACATTCACTGCTACTAAAATAAAAGGCAAACACTGAAATATTGGAATCATAATAACGACCTTAAAACACACATGTAATATGCCGTTGAATTCCATGTATATTTCTTCGAACGATTGTCATATTTGTTGTGGTTGGGTATGACAGTCCTGTTTTGACAGATGTCTGTTGCACCTACCTGAAGAAATCTGTCCTGCAGTATAGCTTCCCGTCCCGACTAAAACATTTGTCAGCAAGGTTTGTTTTACAGTCTGAGCACTGGACGCATTTGGCGTGCCACGTTCTGTCCAAGACATTAAATAGAAATCTATCCAGGATCGGGCGGTCGCACCCCGCACACACCACCATTCTTTGGACCGCCAGTTTCGTAGTTGCTCCCAGGGTGCAGGGCTGATACGAGGGGACTAGCGGGTTCTCTTCTCGAGCTCTCTCAGCAACAACTGTGTACGGCGGCTCAGGCTGGCTTCGCGTCGCTTAGTTCACCATCGGAGATTTGTACGCAGTTTTTTGATCAGGAGAAAATTAAGTAACTGTCCTTCCTCGTATTTGCAACCACTGGCCGGCGCTCGCGTACTATATCCACTCTAGCTATATCCACACATGCAATGGGACCAAAGGGCCTCAGTGTGGGAGCTAGTATCCCACTGGCTGATACAAGCCACGCCTCCTGCCAATCATTGCAGTTGCTAGGAAGCTTCTATAGTAAAGTGTTGCCCTCGTTTATAATGTCAATACAATGGCTAAAGCTTTTGTATGTCAAGTATTATAGTTTTCAAGACTGCTTCCATCACTAGCACAATCGGGGCACCGTTCGTATTGAACCTGTAAAGACAATTATAACTAATGGCCCATAATAAGCTTAATCTTAGAAAAGCTTGCTTGGTCCTTTTGCCCATGAGCTGTTCGAGTCTTTTGTGGCATCAAGCAAGTGTCAAAAGAAGTTTGTACACGTAGCCGTATTAAACAGAAAGTCACCCCATACATAACAACGCCTTGCGGAGCTTTGTGAATTCTACCGGGACGCTGATCGTGTTCCTTTTATCTTGAGATCGAGTTTCTCGCATTGCAGGCTTAAAGTGGCCACGAAGTGGGGCGAGGCCTCCAATGCCTTCAAGGGAATTCTTTTCCAGCAAAAAGACATTTTTTGCACGTTTCTCCCTCCAGCTGACCACCACTGCTGTGGTCAGATGCCGTCAGATACCCCCTGTCCTGCCGGTCGGCAATCACACTCAATTTGTTAATGTGAGTCACAAATACACTCTGTCGTTTTGTTTGTTTATTATTGCTGTTTTTATCCAAATGGTCAGCACACGTAGAGTAGGCCTACCTGCCTGTCAGCCAAAGCAAGGGGTGGTCAGCGTGTAAGTACTGAGTCATAATTTTGTTTTCACAAACAAATATAAAGCATCTAATTTTGATAATATATATTACTGTAAAGCATTTAGTATAAATTTCAAATGACTTACATATGGTGGTTATTTTGAGAGCAAAATTTTATCACAAGCAACTGGGATTTGAGCATAAAATAAAGGACTATGTAAATTATATATACGAACAATATTACAATATTATACGACAACGGTAATAAAAGAATATTTTTTACCCTTGAATATAAATTCAGCAAACGCGATCACAACTTATCACAATTTCTGCTGACAAGATGGTGGTTCTTTAAACACAAGCACAACGTGCCACGAATTTCAATTTTTATTTTAAAATTCTTGACAGTTTTGTTGTCTCGCGATTGCATCATTGTCTTCAATTGTCCTGTTTGTTAGTTTGGATTTAAAGTAGTTTGGCACAAAATTTATCTTATAGTATCTCAACCATAATCTAATATTTTATCTGTATATCTAAATTATTTTCTCTAATAACTTTCCGGTTTATAATCAGAAATTCTTGAACTTTCAAAATGCCAGGTTGTATAATCGCACTACATTTACCTTAAAAAATTATTTATTCAGCGCGCTGCGCCCCGCACGTGTCGAGGCGGACCTCAAATAAGCAGCGTCCAGAGAAACAAACACTGCTTGTTAAATTTATATTACGACAAGCTAATTTCAAGCATATGCAATAGATTTATGATCAGTCCTGCGTCGGCATACACCGACTGGATTAACGCAAAGCCCACTAAATCTCCATGGAGTTGGAGACTCATTTTGATATGCATCATCAATATATGAAAGGCGAACGCGTAATAGCAAATACGATGGAAAACTGACACTTAACCTTTTGCTTTCTTGTTGGGAAACCCTTCAGGTCGGTACGGATGGAAATGTTAAAGTTGAAATGTTTTAAAAAAGATATATACGATTGCATATTTTTTCGATAGTTTTGGAAATGTAGAAATATTTCGACAGACTGGGCAGCTCTGTCTTGAATTGACAATGCGTAGTAAGAAAATTTGTAAAAGCCATCTAACATGCTACTACATATTTTTTCATCAAGCCAAATGATATTTTTAAAAAATATTACAGATATTATGAATGAAAAAACAGGACTTTACTACCTATTCTGATCTCAGTGTGGCACTAGAAACGCATGTGTTCCTGCTAGTAGGTTTCCGTAAGGCATGTGGACACAGCGGCCAAGTATCTGTTGAATTTGTTTAAGTACAGTTTGACTATCCCGTTAATTGTAAATTGAGGGCGGGGGAGCGGAGTTTTGTTTCACACCTCGGGGTAGATCAAAGAGAAGCCGACCACTTGTTACTCTAGTTTTAATTCAATTAGTCCCTTCTGTTTGCAGGACGCAGCAGTCCAGACAATGACGGGTGAGGGGGATTAAACATTTAAACTTTAACACCGATTATGCAAGCACGTGTAAGAACTGTTTTGTTTAGTTTTCTCGCAGCTGGAATTCGGGATCTCGGGGCGAATGCATCAGGAAGAAAACGCAATATTATTATTAAAGTCACTTTACACAAGAGGGGAGCAGGACCAAAAGAAGACGAAGTCAGTGCATTTGTTCCTCTATCTGGTTTCAGAGATCCCCTTTTGCGCTCAAAAAATAAAAAAGGAACCTTGCAAAACAGCTGGATAAATCTTTCTGCAGTATGTGTATTTTAAACATTTTTGCGTTTTTCGCGTTTTGTGTTGATATATATCTTGTAAAAAAATAAAAAATAAAAAATAGGGATGGATATTACCTAAATCCGCGCAATCCCGCAGAGCTGCCCAGGGAAAGTTGATTTGCGTTAATTAGGCTCCCTTGACGCTCGTGCACGGGCATTTCACATGGTTTGTTTCAGTGAATAAACCAGGCTGATGGTTAGCCACAGTATCAAAGAGTTAAAAGGACAAATAAGCAACCGATGCTCGCATTCTCCCATGACAAACCGCCTTTGACTTGAAGGGGTTGGAGTGAGCAATGCCTAAAATCTGATACTGTTGTATAGGGCCGCGATATAGGTAGTTTTAGATGACAGCGAGAGAGCGCTCTCCGGGTTTTGCCGCAGGCACTCGCTCAAGGTTGATATCAAAATTCAAAAGAAATATTACTTGTTTATCTCGTGTGAAAAAAGGATAACATTATCATTGTTTCCCCATCAATATCGCTAAAGAATACAACAAAGGCCTCTGTTCTTTTTTTCTCTTTTTTTTTGTAAAATTTTCCAAGCCTTGGTGTTAAACTGATACAATAATAAACAAAATATTCAAGAGAATTTCATGTGGAATGGGAGTGTAGGGAAATGCAATTGCGGCAATCGATGGTGACGACGGTCAGGCAAATGTAACTACTTCTTTTCAAGTTATATAAACTGCAAAAGCCGGTGACAGTGTTTCGCGTGGTAAAGCAGAGTGCATCATGAAATTGACAAGCTCTGTGATAAACATCGATGTATTACCTCCACTGCGGGGAGAATTCCTTTTGATTCTCAAGATGCTTCGTTTTATGCCAATTTGAGCAGCACAAGTTACATTATCTGCTCGCATATCGCCACACGTAATTCAGCAGAGCGATCTGGCTCGTGCTCTCCTTACGATAAGATACGATAAGAAAAGTAATTAATTGCAGCCTCCATCTTACAAATCTACACAGATAGCTGTCGTGTGTGAAGAGTTCCAGCTCATTGGACGGTGTCCAGCCGGAACAGTGTCATCTTAACCCAATACAAACAATTTTCGTCCGGAGATACACGTTATAATGTGCGAAAATTTAAATACAAAAACAAGAATTGTATAAGAAAGGGACACATTTTAGAGGCAAAGAGAAAGCGTTTATTTGCGTTCGGTCTGTCTTCGTGCGGAGGATATTTTTTACAAGCAGTCGAATTGATGACTGACTCAGAGCTGATTTTTTTTCTTGGATAATCAATTGTTTCTGACATCACGTCATGACGGATGAGAGGGTATGTCGGATTGTAAAAAAGCACACAGTTCGCAAACAACTGCAGTCTACATAAATGGTTTTTTTACAAAGGAGATTTTCATGTATCTGGACTATAGAAGCAAATCGTGTAAAGTACTCAGTTCTATATGTTTAGATCGCACGCCTCGTAACCCCAGTAAAGGGCATGCAGAGGAACAGGATAATTAACTAAGGAACTTTGGTTATCATGAGAGAAAATTTTCAAAATCATCTCGACATATTTGCCGCAGATTCTGGAGATTTCTCCTGTAATTAACACATTAATGATAAGAAGAGCAGGTGCTTTTTTATGCTTCTCTTCTGAGGCAAAGAGCTTTTCACAACAACGGTTCTTCCTGCAGTTGCGTTTTATGCTTTCCCCGCAGATGATGTTTTCACACTGCATCTTTCCACGCATGCAACCAAGCGTTCCAGAGACAATTAACGGCGGTGACTGCGTTTCTAGAATAAAGAAATTTCCCTGAACTTTATCTGGCGTGTCCACTGTCATCATGTGCTACCGCAGTTACATGTGCAGCGTGTTCATCTTCGGTAATATTCGATATCCGGCCTATAGATTTTGTTAAGATTTGACAGGGATTAGGAAGATGAAAGATCAACATAAAGGAGAAACGATGGGATATCCTTTATATAATTAGATATTTAATTAAAATAACAAACTCTACAGTTTTTTTAGCTTAATCGTTCGATTTTTACATTTTTCTAAGGCATAAGCGATTTATCTCCGGATATAGAATGAAAACAATCGCGCAGCCCAGTTGATGAAATTATTTTCAATTTCTACAGACATCTGTGTAATTTGGGGGTCCATTCTAAATTCTCACTTCACTGACGTTAATGTCTTCAGCTTCAGTTAGACTATTTTCAGCATACTTAACGAATGTTGGTTTTCAAATATCGACTAGTAATGCCCGCATGGTAGACATGCCACTGTTGGACTCTCTTCGTGCAACCAGCAAAAAGTTACATTCTGCTTGGGTTGGAATATTAATTTTTTTCGTAACCTCTAAATTTTTATTCATTTGTTTTTAGTATCTTGTGTGTGTATTGACCAAGGAAAGGTTATATAGCTGTGCAAAATATTTTGAATTGTAGATAAGTAT